CATGCTTAGAAAATTTTATATTGTACTATTAAATAATTATTTATTAAAAAAAAAAAAAAAAAGAGAGCTTTACTTAACTTTCATAATAAAAAAAGAAACGTTATACAACATGCTTAGAAAATTTTATATGTACTTATAATAATATTTATCATTTTTTTTTTTTTTTTCAAAAATTGATGTAAGATCAAGTGGGCTTATAAAGTTAATCCAACAAATAATACAACTAACAGGCTCATTTCAACTTTTACGGCCCAATCAAAATAACCAAACGATCCCTGCAGTGGCAGCAACTTTTTTGGATGATAGCAACATTTATGGAATTATAAAAAGAAAGGGAAATTAAAAAAAATAAATAAATTAAATAAAATCTTAATGTTTACCTATTTTTGAAATTACAAGTAATCCTCTAGCTTTCCTTTATTTAACCCAAAATTCTTGGCAGTGATAGCAACATTGTCTTGCAGTCTAGTTCAGTAAGGGCACACAAAATTGGGTAAAAGCACAATCAAAAACTACGAGCGCACACAAAACATATGAATCTTGATTTTGGATGAACAGAAAAGCCCATTGTATTAATTAAGCAGACACATAATTAATTAATTAATTAATTAATGTTGCAAATAAAGTAAAGCCACATTGGGAAGCAACCCAATAACTAATTACCTAATAACTAATTTTTAGGCCATTTTCCTGTACTTGTGGTCGTTTTCTGTTACTTATAACATTAGCCACCCAAAATGGAATGTCTACTGCCTTCATTGCATTCACGGAATTGCATCAAATACACAAACGGATATAAAAAAATATAACTACGTGATTCCTTTTTTTTTAATATTATTATTATTATTTAGGGCTAGGTCAATTAATTATATAATTTTTATATCTGAATTAAGAAAATTGGTGTTATAAAAACAAAAAGTTGAAACTTAGCATATTATAACTTGTTAATCCCTAAAAGAAGAGATGATTAAGGAACATCTAATTAGGTCTAACCTCCCCACACGCAAAGAACTTGTTGTTTTCTTATAATTAAGCATCAAAAGCTAAGAATCTCTCTTCCTTTTAAACTTGCATTCAAAGTTTTAACAAGTGTCCAATTAATAACTAATTGGGTATATTCTCCTTCGTACAAGCAAATGGAAGTCCTACATTCCTAATAAGAAAGGGCATATTCCCTTCATTCCCGTTTAATTATCTTCTATCACATTTAATTTATTATGCTAAACATCCTATTTCAAATTAGTTATTTAATTCCTAAGTTTTGTTAAATTGTTTATTTGTTCCTACAAAGTGAGTTAATAATAACTTTATAACCTAAGTACTAATTAAAGAATTGCCTTAATCAATAGATAAAGAGGAGCAATTTTGTAAGTAAAAGATTAAAAATAGTTATTATATCCATTAATAATCATGTTAAACAAACATGTTGAGTTTAAAGCCGAAATACTTGTTATGCCTAATATATATTAATTGAAATTTAATTAATAAGAGAAAATTTTAAATTTTAATTAATAAATAAAATGTTTTAAATTTCAAAACATTTTTACTTCAAGTATCAAACTCAAAATGTTTTAAGTTGAACTCAAGGCTCAAATCGAGTTCTAACTCTAAAATTTCTAGATTTGTTGAGTTTTGAACCAAACTACAATTGAGTTTCGAGTTTGGCAGATTTGCATTTGTCTCGGCTCATTTACACATCTATCGTCGCAACTGTATTATGAATCCTATCCCTACAAAGCCTTACTCTACCAAAACAATTGGGAGAAGAGTCAGTCACTAAAACACATAGTATATAGTTCTAATCTGAGCTTAGTTAATTTCATGTTATGTTTTTATTAAATTATTCAATTTTACAAGCCTGTGAACTAATATTATATATAATATAGTCAAATTTAAGAAAATTAAGAAGAGTCTATGAAATTAATAATGTAATAGCAAGGCTGCATTTGAGAGATCAATAGACAGCAATAGCACCGCAAAGCATTGTAATTGGACCACTAGCTACAAGTTTAGGTAATAAAAAATAGTATATAAATGAAATGACAGTTTGTAACTAACGTAGGGCACAGAAAGTGTAGGACAAGTTGAATCAATCCAAGTTGGCCAAATTGAATATTTCAATGCACTCATTATATGAACATTTCATGGAACCCAACCCAACCCAATTTCACAGTTCACATACCGCGTAAAACCCAAGAAAAAAGAAAGAAAATATTATTTTATTACAAAGTAAACGCCAGCCAACTTAAATATTATACAAAACAATCACATGTCTTGATTCTTGTACGTGTTATGCATACTATTTCTACTTGTTTCTTTAATTAGATCGATTTTGCCATTTTGGATCCTAAGTATATATATTAGCTTCTTAATTATTTGGCACGTCCCACTGTGATTGTCTTTTCTTTATTCCAATAAGAAAAAAATATATATATGATATACTTTTTTTTTATGGTTTGGAATGTAGGTATATATAGCGACATCTAAATGATTAATAAAGATGAAGTGCCTAGCTACTTATAGAAAAAGGAATAAAAAGTTGCATGCAAATTACAAGAATACCAAAAGAGGGTTCAATTACAAGAACCACGTTCTTGAAATTAAGATGAAGAAATCAAGAAAAGAAGCTGTGTGGATTAGAATGATTAAGGTTGGTATTATAACTAATACAAAGTGTCCTAAGCCACGCAAAATGTGTTACATAATGATGGGAACATGTGCAATAAAGGGGAGATCCACATGGGAGATGAGATTACCCAAAACATAGGTTGGCTTTCTTGTTTGTAAACACCACTAAACACTGCCACTACCACCTTCACCTCCACCTCCTCCACTTTCCACTGCCTGCTGTTCTTGCGCTGTTCACGCGGCTATGACTAATGACTTTCTTTACCACCTCTTTGGAATTTTCGGACACATTAATTATTTGAATTTTCAATTATAATATTAAAATGACTTGACTCATCACATTACGTTACTTTGATTTGCATATTACCCTTATAATTTTTGTTAACAACTTATTTTAGGTTTGGTTTAGTATTATCCTAGTAAAATAGCGGTTGAAATGTGATATATGTTACTCTTATTAATTAGTTCAGCAATTAGATAAATTATTGATTATATATGTAATAATTTATGGTTAAATAATAGTTATAATTACCTTAATTTAGTGATAAATTATTGAACCGTCAATTTTTAAGAGTTATTTTTCCATTTTAAATGTCATTTTTTTTGAAATTCAAGAAATATTATTATGTTTTTTTTATTTATTGAAAGATTCGATGGGTCGAAATAACACTGCGGGTTATACAATAAGGGAAAGCCTTTCGTCAAACTCAAGAGATGCGTGAAAACACTTCTGGTCGATAGGATTTAAATTCGAAACCTCTTATTTCTCACATAAGTGAGAAAACTAACCAGACCACACTTGATTATTCAAAATAAATAAATAAATAAATATTATATTTTTACTTGTTATCCCTGCTTATTGAATCTAATTGTAATTCTACTGCAACCCTTTTTATAATTTCCTTCTCTTAAAACCTAAAAACGCTCTTTTCCTCTTTTATAGGTGGCCATTGGTGGTCACCCTTTTTCCTTTTTTTTGTTTGCTTTTTTTTAAAAATAATTCTCAAATTTGTATCTTTCGATACAGATTTAAATTATTGTTACCTATATCTCGAGATTTTATTTTCAGATCTATTTCCAAGTTATTATTATCATCATTATGGTGATTTTGTCTTAGGTAGTTTGTTATTTGGACAATTATATAGAAACAAATGCAGATATCCTCTCTAATAAAATGAAGAAATTTAAAAGTGATTAGATCAGATTTGTAGAAAACCATGAAGTTAAATAGGGCCATAAATAACATTAAAATTGAGCAAGCAATTGTCTATGGCGCAAGTATTATGTTCTGTCAACCAAGTTGAGTAAGTATTATACTTTGTCAATTCGATCATATACTTGAAATCAAAATTATATTTTTTTTATTCTGAATAAATGGTTTATTATTCGACTTCCTATACAAAAATATAAAAACATATAAATCTATATCTCATATATCATACATTTGTCTCTTGATGAAAATTTTAATTTAATTTCTTCTTAAAAAAAGTATAATTTTACTCTGTTAATTCACTTTTACAAAAAGATATAGCGTTAGAATATTAGTAAAATAGTATTGACCAGTAATAAAAAAAAATATTGAGGTAATTTAAAATGAAAATTTAATAAAATTAAGATAAAATTAATCATTTTCTTAAGTTAACGATTTGAGTAAAAGAGCATCAGTTTTTATCTAGTGATACAAAACGATAAAAACTTATAGAGATTTAGGTTTCTAGATGCAAAACAAAAATAGAAAAGAAGATCTGAAATGAAATATTATCCTCTCAGAATATTGTAAAAGCCAGTCTGAGTAAAAACAAATTTGCCAAACAAAGTTTATTTTAACTTGTATGAAAAAGAAAGAAAGATGGTTATCGCGTTATGCATTAAAGGCGTGTTGGAGACTTCAACCATGACCAGACCACGTAAAACAACGTTTGGGGTCTGTATATTTTCGTTAATTAATTTTTTTAAAAATATTTTTTATAATTTATCATTGTTTGAAAGTTCAAAAACAATATATCAATAGAAAATATCTTTCTCTTTAAAAAAAATTAAATAATTTTTTAAAAAAATACTTTTCATTTTCGAAAAAATAAAACATTTTTCAAATATTAACAAATCTTATAAATTTATATTTTTTAATTTATTAATCACTGATCACCATAAAAATTTTAATATTTTTAACAAATTTTTATTATAACCAAACAATAAAAAATAAGTCTGAAGGAAAATTATTTTTAATAAATATTTTTCAATAAGTTATTTTCTTATAAGTTATTTTATAGAAACAAATGAAAACTAAATGCTCAACGATGAGAAGATCAAATCCAACCATATCTAATAACATAAAATAATTAAATTATCATATCATTAAAGATAAGAACAAATTTAATGAATGAATTAAATGAATAATAGTAATTATTAAAAAAATCACAGACAATGAACAGATTTCTTTTCTGTACAAAACCCAAAAATAAAAATAAAAATCAATCTGCAAACTACATAATTCTAATCTTGCAAAGGAACTTTCATTTCAGTTTTTTCTTGTTTAAGCAACAAAGACAATCTTGGTTTCTTTCCAGGCAAAGGGCTCTCCACTTCTTGCTCTCTGTTGCCTGGCCATAACTCCGGCAAAGCTGGCAAGTTCAAGTCAAATTCAAAACCGCCGCGGCTTTGACTTTGACTTTGGCTGGCGCCACCTTCCGATGAGGTTACAGCACTGCTGCTATGGTTGTGGCCACCAACAGGTCCTTCATAGTGCCGGCGCTTGTGGCCACCTAAGGCTTGACCGGTGGGGAAGGTCTTATGACAGATAGAACACTCGTGGGTTCTACCTGTAGTTGCAGCGATGGCAGCTGTGGTCGTGACGGTAGAGGTTGAATGATTGTCGTTGGCGGCGGCGGCGGCGGCGGCGGCGGAATCAGAGGAGGATTTTTTATGGCTGGCTTTGTGTCCACCAAGAGCTTGATAAGAAGGGAAAGCTTTGTTGCAAACAGTACACTTGTAAGAGAGATTCAAAGCTGGCGGTTGCGGTGGCGGTGGAGATGTAGATGCGATTTCTTCAGCTGTGGGACTGGTGGAGCCACCGCGAGCAAGCATAATAAGGCAAAGAGCGAGATACTCCTCTTCGGTAGGAGGAGATTCACCACGAGGCCTCTTGGAGCGTTTTCTTTTGGTCCAAGTATCCTCATAATTGAAAGGAGTGGCTGTGGTGGGTGAATTCAGCGCTTCAAGAGCCATAATTCTTGATTCTTGAATTATCAAGAGATAACTTATGTACGTATGTGAGAAAGGAGAGCGAAAAAAGGCAAGAATCGATTTCTTGATTCTTGAGAAGCTTGTGCAAAAGAACAAAACCAAGAATGGATTTTCTTGATTGTTGAAGAAGATAAAAGATTTGTTTGATTTCTAAAGATGGGTAAAAGGGAAAAGTCTTTAGAGAGTAAAGAAAGTTGTGGGAGTGGAGAGTGGGAGAAGGGTTTATATATAGAGAGGGTGGGGGTGGAGTGGGAGAGTTGGTGGAGGGAGTGAAGTCGGTCAACTAAGAAATAGAGAGAGAGAGAGAGAGAGAGAGACGGTGTGGGTGTGGAGACTGAGCTTTTTGGAGGACTAAGTCCAAGTCAAAACAATGGTACGCCTGCGTTTTTAACCAACAAATTGGTGGTGAGGAATAGCAGTAGTAGTAAATAGGAGGGAGGGGTTTGTTTTATTGGGCAAGTTAAAGTGTTTTGGACGTGTGGAGCACGCTTTCAGTTTTTGGGTCAGCAATGAGGGAGATTGTGTTTTAATTATTGGATAATCATGTCATTCTTTTGGTTTTGCACATTAAGTAATTCAGCTGTTGGGGTATCTTGCAAGATTGTTTCATTTACTTAGCTTGCTATGCTCCCGCTCTCTTTTTTTCTTTTTTTTTTTTTTAATAAATAAATATATATTTGTGGGCATTTTCTTCCTGAAAATGGAAATTATCATGAAATGATGAGTTTTTCATTTTAAATTATTGAAAATTCTGTGTTTTTTAAGTATCAGAAAAAAGATACTTAAAATCAAAGTTATTACTCAAATTAGACATACATTTACGCAAATTAAATATATTAATTATATATAGTCTAGTTTGTCACTTTATTTTTTATAAAAAATATAATTGAGAGGTCTTGATTTCGAATTTTTTCGACTACAAGAGTTTTTATAAATTTAATGATTCTAAGATAAAATTACCTTTATATATTGTACTATAATATTATTTAAATTTTTCAATAAATAAAAAAATTATATATGTCGCAGAATTCATAGATAAATGCATTGAAATTTCTCAATAGCAACTCGACATTTAACCAAATATCAATTTTTATTATTAAAATATTTAAACAATTAGTCAGTTGATTTTTTAAAATAATATTCAAAAATATGAGATATAGCCACCATTTAAGAAAATTCCATTTTTTTCATATTCGAAAAAGATAATAATGCAATTCAAGGAATAATAATAATAATAATAATGTAGTATTGTAGCAATAATATTCCTGGTTAAAAGTACAATTCAACTTGCCAATTAAGATTTCACTTAAATTCTAATTTTATTTAAACATCAAAAACTTGTTTAATATTTTCTAGTAGCAGCCAGTCTTTCTCTAGAAGCAACATCCTCTACTTCCCAGTTAGTTCTCAAGTTTTTTAGTTGACCTCTTAAACATTGCACTCGTACACGCGCTTATACTGTTGCGTGGGGAATATGATTACAAGTATTCGGTTTGCTAATTGTTTACCTTTTTTAACTTTGCTTTTGTGTGAGCTTTTGAACTTTATATACTTGGATTTGTTAGTTTCTTGTTGGTTGTCTGTCTAGAAAGAAAGACAGCTCAGCTCAGCCCGCTCAGGAACATCCCTTTCTTTGCCACGTGTCCTGTGCTAATCTCATGGTTACTATCGTTGTTTTCTAGAAATTCCGTGCTACTTCCTTGCTCTGAAAATACCTACTTGCCCCTTAAGTTTCATAGAATTGGTAATGAAATAATAAATTAATTTAATTATGTTTAAAAAATAATCAATACATAAATTAATTTATGACTTTTCTTGTGTATAATTAAATTTTGATCTTATGATATAACGTATAGTGTATTGAATAATCGTATGTCTGTGAATGTAATTCTAATAAGAATACTAACTGAATATTATATTATAATTTAGTTTTTTTAATATTTGTTATATTTGACATATAATGATTATAATAAAGTGTGTTTATACCTAATTTTAACTTTTTATAGGTGAAAATATAAAAATTATTATTAAATATTATTTGGGGTAAATGCCAACCTTATTTATGGGCATAAAAAAATGAATATAACGTGTATTGTAGAATTAAACAAAAAGACCGTATACGCCAGAAGGGGTATTTATGGCATACAAGAATTATAGTTAGCCAGTACAGTCTTCAGTAGCGAGAGAGGACGGCTGTAGCTTCACGCCTTCACCGACGCGCAACTGTCAAGACATACGGCACGCAACGAGCTGTTCTTATCAAGGAAAGCCACGTGGCACATCCTTTTGGCTGCTTTCACATGGTAAAGATAACCGACAATCAATTGGATAACAACCACATCAAAGCCGTCCATTTGCTAGGAATCTCCTACAAAATGCCACGTGGATATTGCTGATGCTGTATTTTGCCACGTAATCCTTTTTACAGTTGAACATCCCCTTGCTCTTGACATGTAGTGGCTCTAAAGGCATTAAAACCTCAACCCATTAAAGAAAAAATGAAAATTTTTTATTATTATATTTTAATTAAAAGACTAATTAAAGAGTGATGGTTTAGTGTAATAAGGTAGGTTTAAGCACATGTGTAGATGTGGAGCAGTTTGAGTTTGAGATGACTTGACAAAGAGGAAGCTTGTTGAGTGATGCTAATGGTATTTAGGCCTAAAGGAAGATGGAGCAATTCTATTCAATTCAAACTCTTTCAATCCTTTACTTGGAAAGGAATGCTATTTAATTTATTAATTTGTGATTGTAATTAGTGAATTGGTAATTGTTCCTTATTTTATTGATTAGTGAATTGGTTAACCTTAAAAAAAAAAGAGAGAGAGAGAGAGGAAAAATAATAATAAAAAAAAACTACGGGCTAGCGTCATGGAATTCCCCACTGTGGGCTAGTGTATGGGTAGTAATTAATTAGTTGTTAAATAAATTTAATATTATGGATAACCTATTGATTCGAATAATAAACGATTTCAATTTCTGTAAAGGTGAAAAAAATAAATTAGATTTTTGAAAAACGCATTGAAGTACAGTAAAATTTTACATTTTATTGCTTGAAAAAATAGATTGATAAATAAATAAAATCAATATTAGTAATTTCTTTTGACATATTAAATATTTTTTTCTAAAAAAAAAGGGGATTGCAGAGGTTTAAATTCCTAAAGAAAAAAAATCCTAATTTCTTACATTATAAAATAAAAAAAAAAGTTTTTCAACAAGAAGTCAATTTAATAAAAAAATATTAGTGGTTTCTTATTAATACTTTCCAAGGTTTTTCTAATCAACACCAAATAATGGATTTGTAAAAACAAAATAGGAAGGATGTTTTTGATAATTCATCTTTGTAGAAGACTGTGAGAAAATTAAGGAAGAATAAGCTCTACTACTATAGAAGAGACTTATGTAGTTATGTTTAAGCTCAAAATCTAGATATTTAAGTTTGAGAAGCTAATAGATTATAATAAAGTATTGAAATGTTTGTACAAATAATATGGAATAAAATTAAATTGATTTTTTAGGAAAAATTTTCAATCAGGTAGTGGTCTGGTTAGGAGTGGGAGGTCTTGAGTTCGAGTCCTTTTAACTACAGTTGTTTTTACCAATTTGGTAAGCCAAGGGGAGGATATTCCTGCAGTGTTATTTTTGCGCTTAAAAACCTCGAATGAATTGAAAAAAAAAATTTTAAAATTAAAAAAAAAAAGAAAAGAAAATAAGAGCATTGGTTTTGATAATTTTAAATAATTTGATGACAACACACACTTGAGTTTTGCAGGATTAAAGTTTATGAACGTGAGACATGATTTGCATTTAGTTAATAAAATATTAATTATTCAATTCTCTAGTAATAGCGTGCCATGAGAGTGTACTGTACAAATGTAGAATGAGTGTTATCTTATGACGTGTGACGCATCACTCTATTCATTTTCTTTTTAAATTCTTATATATAGCTTTTTTATTATTAATCTTGCAAGTAAAATTTTGTTAGGAATATACCGTTGATTTTTACTAATCAACGGCTTGTTTTTTCACTCATATTTTTAAAGGTTCTTAGTCAGACTAGATATATATATATATACACATGCATGCACCGTTTTGTTTTTAGAAGAACCAACGTTTTTTTCATTGAATATGAGTATAAATGAGTTGCATTTAGTTATCTTCTCCACGATATCTTCCCATACAATTTTTAATGAAATAGATATGAATTTTAATTAGGTAAGGGCTCCAATAAATAAGTCAACTTGTTGTTTGTAAGAATAATAAAGTAGAAATCTAAATAAATGTGTCTCTCCCTCTTTTTCTGAAAACATAAAATCTCTTTTTTCTTGTTTTACAGGCGTCCTTCGATGAGCTTTCATCGATAGTCACTCCTTTTCTTTTTCTGTTTGATTTTTTTGCAAATAATCTTCAGATTTACAGATCTAATGAGTTATTGCGCTATTTATTGGGTTTTATTGTTGGCCATATATTGTATTCAGATCTAGTTATGAGTTATTGTATCATCATTAGCGTATTTTATTATTTGGATAGTTATGCAAAAAGAAATGCAGATCTCTTCTCCAATAGAATGAAGAAATGGATAGTTATGTAAAAAGACCATGGAGTCGAACAGTAGTCATAAATAGCCATTAAGTGGAGCAAGCGATTGCCTATGACATAAATATAATACTTTGTCAACTCGATCAGATACTTCAAATCAATATTGTATTTTTTTTAATTTTTATATAAGTGGTTTATTATTAGGCTTCCTATACAAAAACATAGAAACATATTGATTTGTATCCGATATCTGTATACAGTTTCAAATTAATGAAATTCTAGTTTGCTTTTTCTAATATATATATATATATATATATATAAAACCAAACATTAAACCTATAGTGTTTTTCTCTCCCTCTTTCCTTTCACGATTTTGTTCTTTTGACCGTTAGCGGGTACCTGAGTACATTCGGTTTAATCAAATCAAACTAAATTGATTTGGTTCAAACCAAATATATTTTTATGACAACCGATTAAATACAATTGAAATTGGTTCAGTACTGAAAAGTCTAGATCTATCTAGACCGATTCAGGTTTGATTCACTTATTTTGCTAGATTAAGGTAATATAAATAAATTTAATAATTATAGTACTAAAATGAAAAGGAAGCTTGATTACGTGGAAAGATAGATTTTGTTTTTTAGAGCAAATGGGAAGATAGATTTAAGCGAAAAGAACATACGAGTTGTTGAAGTCATGGCTCACATAATCAAATTTGAACTGCAAGAAGACCAGAATTTTAGGTCACTATTGAATTTCTTCCCCCGTGTGGTTGTCAAATTTTCTTCTTCCTTCTTTTGATACAATTTTCTTGGAAACCAGTTGGAACTTTCAGGAATTATGTGGAAGAAACTAGATATAAACCCATTTCAATATTGCCCTTTTAGGACTTGAAATTCAATTAATGTCAACTGGTAACTGGTTGTTTTGAATTTTCCTCCTGTTGTTTTTTACAATTTCAATCAATTGTCTAGCAATTTCACCTTTTTTTCTTCTTTTTATTATCATTTTAATCATATGATGAGATGGCATCTAAACTATGTGTCTGATCTGATCTTTTTTTTTTTATTATTTTTTACCAAATACTTTGTGTTATAAATATAACAAGTCAGTCCATAATCAAAGGGAAAATTCAAATTGTATTTTACTGTTTGTATAAATAAACCACATGTGAATTTTGCGACATCGTTGACTGTTGATTGCGGACCTGACTGTAAAAGGCGAACGTCAAAAGGCCGTAGCAATCGCAAAGCCACGTCATTTTGTTTGCAATAGCGGCGGTGCCATGTCAAATCCACGTACGATAGGTGGATTGGAACTTGGAACATATACATGGCCCAAGACTGCACAAAAGCCCAAAGTTCCGAAGGTTGGGCCCAAAAGGATTTCATGGATAATCTGTCAACATTGGGTTCTTGGGCCATTTGGGTTTACAGGAAACCCGATCCATGAAAGTGAATCCTTTTGAATCAGAAATATACGGTTCAAATGTAGGAAGAGAAACAATCAATTAATGGGTTCACAGATTGAGGGCTTGGATTTTTTAGAAACATTTTCACTTGTGCCCAAGATGACCACCATCAGATTGTGGCTTGCCTTGGCATCCATCGAACATTGGCATTTACATCAATTAGATGTAAATAATGTCTTTCTACATGGAGATTTAACTGAAGAAGTACATATGACACCTCCTCTTGTTCAAAAGTTCTCGTTTCATTTATTTGAATTGTTCAAAAAATAACTTCAAACGAAACCATCAACGATAAACGACCACAAATAGCGTATTCATTGTTGCCACTGCCACAGCCATCACTGCTAGCACAAGAGCACCATCATCATAACCAACCACCATCGCGGAAGTATGTTTTTGAAAACACAGAGTGATGATTCCAGTACTTCAAACCCATCATCAACCAACCACCATATCAAAGTTTGGATTAAGGGTAACATATACAAAGCAATGGTCTACAGTAAACAAAATTATATATGCATTAATCTTTTGGCATCTGTAGGAAAAGAAAACAATGTCAAACCAAGTACAAGATTTTGCCCAAAGACAAGCATGTAACATCAATGCATGAAACTAGTCTTCATCCATTCCTGCAGGTGCATCTCTCTTTGGACCACTAGTTGGTTTTGCCATTAGAATCTACAGAATACAAATGAAGAAAAATTCTAATAAAAAGTTTGAATTCAAATGAGAAGTAACAAAATTAACCAATCAAATATCATATTTGGGGCGTTTCTAGACGTTCTCTCGATCCTGTTTGAAGTGTTTTCTTTGAGTTCATGACTTGTTTTCTCTTTCTTTGTCGTCGCCTTTTATGGTTACTATGCAGTAAACTCGTTGTTGCTTTATGCTTTGCTCAACCTTGTTGCTTCCGTAAGGCAAACGGAAAGTTGCAATGTAGTCTAGTTCGTGCAACATGCTAGCTCTTTTTGTGTCACCCGTTATGTTTTAACGACATTTTCTTTTTGAAACACCCAATCTCAAAATTAAGAATCAATCTGAAAAATCAACACCCATCTCAAAAATAAACAACTGTAATCCTAAACACCTTCAATTTTTAAATGCACAATCTCAAAATCAACAACCATGCAGCTAATGATCCAAGTCAGGTTTTGCAGAAGAAGAGAGACGGTGAAGAAGATGAGAGAATCTCTCAGAGTTCAATTTGTGATCTAGAGAAACAAACTTGATATGATTGCTGTTGTGACGGTGGTGGAGATTGAGAAATGGCTGGTGATAGAGATGAAAAGGAGGAGGAGGAGGAGGAGGAGGAGAGGTCTTGAAGCTATCCGATTAGCTGCTTAAGCATTTTGGTCAATACTTATTATTAGATGGTAGTTTAGTCTTTTCATTGATATTTAATGGAAAAAAGAGTTAATTTCAGATAAACTGACCATTTACTAAAATAAAAGAAAATTTCAGAAACTAAATACTTAATATATTTTGCATATTAAGACGAATTAATTAACATTTTATAAAACGAAGAAATAATTATTTTTGTTTAATTAATTAAAGTTGTAACTCACTCACAACTGGATTGTATGATTTATGTTCTTAGCTCGGAATATCTTGAGATGATTTTTCTTTTATTTATCTTTTCATTTTAAATGAACAAATTAATAAATAGAAATCTTTCCGTTATATATACAGTTTTTTAATTAATAATTTAAAAAACTAAAATTGAATTCCTCCATTATATATTGTATGTTTTTCTAATAATATACCTGTATGGATTTGACATCACAAGAAGACAAAACTAAACCTGGAAAATTCACAAATGCACAAAAACCTCAAGCTTCGCTATCGTTACTCTCCCATACGATAGTCAGGTAATTGAAGAGAGTGTATTTCCATTGAGACCAGAAATCAATCATTGCCATGGCAACCTCTCTCCTATCGCAACTCTCAGCCCCAACGCCAGAGCTAGCGAGTCCCTCTTCTGGGCTCCCAAAATCCTCTTTCCTCCCCAATACAAAGCTCTTCTTCTTAACCAATTCAAGAAAACAGAGACTTTTTCAACAGAGATGCTTCAGAGCCCCTTCTGCATCTGGGAAATCTCTCAACCACATACCCAATCAGTTCAGACAAGAGAATCTCAAGGATGGATGTAAGTCTCTCTTTATCTATCCATCTCTATGATTTTTTAGTAGTTTATCGTTTGCTTCTTTGATTTTTGGTTGTCGGTGTGATTTTAGTTTCCTCAGTAGGTGCTAGTTTTTGGGGTTTACTCTTTCCCCATTATTCTTGGGCTGTTGTCTGTTGTCAGTGGAAAAGAGAAGACTTTTGGGTATTGGGTCCTTTGTATTTTAGCTTCATGGGTCGTTTCCTAGCATTTATCTATTAAGTCTTGGACATTAGAGTAAAAAAGGTTGATAATTTTTATTTTTTAACCTGTGGGTTTTAGAAATTTAAGGGAAAGGTGTGCTCAGCAGGTTAGGCATCTTAGGATTACACTGTTGTCATGCCATAGTTCTGTTCTAATCATATGGTGTAATTTATAGTTATCTGCCATTTGAATGTACTGAAGCGATATACTGCCAATAACTAAAGGTTTTTGAGTGGAGGATTGGTCATTTCTAGATGTTTGTTATGACAATATGATTGGCAGCTATGGCAGTGAAAATCATATTGTATGGGCGACCTTATATTTGGAGGTTAGTACAATCAAGGCCTTTTTCTTTTGCGATAATAGGGAGGAGAATATAACATAAAATGTCTTGTGAAACTGCAGTTAGTATTCAGGCATGGCACTAGAACAAGATTTTCGGTAGCATAGTCCTGCAATAATATTTTGAAGTTAGATGCAAATCATTTTGAACCACGAGTTTCTGTAACTTTTGGCAGCTTGGTTGAGAAATTGTGTTAGGTTTTCAAAAGTAAGTTGAATGTCAATAGGAGCATCAAAAAATGCTTCAGAATATCTTTGAATCTCCTTAATAAGTTCAAGATGATACTGCTGAATGATAATAACTGTAAAGTGTTGTTAGAATCGTACAATTTGTATCGAATCTAATGGAAAATGATATGAATCTTAGTGTAGAATCGGAAAGAAGCCTGAATCGGTGATGAATTGGTCGAATCGGCAGCGAATCATACGAATCGCAATGAATTGGTCGATTCACACGATTCAGAAATCAATTGGAAAAAAAAGCAAAATAAAAGAGAAACTGCTCTATGCGTTGTCTAATCTATGTTTTTTTACTGAGAAACAAGTAGAAAATAGAAGAGAGAACATATACGAAGAGAGGAGGAGAAAGAGAAAGAAAATAGAGCCATAAAAATAATTAAACAGAGAGAATTTGAACATATATTACTACATATATTACTGCAGGAGGAGTAAATGACTAATTTTTTCCATATATGCATAGTAGACTATTTGTAGTGCACTTTAATCAACTGTCACGTCACCAAGGAAACAAAATAAGTCCAAACTAATTCACACAATTACTATTTATAATTCTCTGCAAATTACAACCAGTATTGAACATAATTATATGTCATTCATTCAATTTTATTTTAATGACTTGGCATGTTTGGATTTTCTATTTGTAGTGCACTTTAATCACTGTCACGTCACAAGGAAACAAAATAAGTCCAAACTAATTCACACAATTACTATTATATTCTCTGCAATTACAACCAGGTATTGACATATTATATGTCATTCAATTCAATTTTATTTTATGACTTGCATTTGGATTTTTAATATTTTTTGAATAAAATTAATAATTTTTAATTGAACGATTGAATCTTTCGATTCTTGATTCGATTCTCGATTTGACAACTATGGTGTAAATATCAGGAGAACCATTGACATTTACAAAGAGGTAGTAACTACTAAGCTGTAAAATGCACAAAATTCAAATTATATAGTCATGATGATGGATTGAACATGAAAACTTTATTCAGTTGGTGCTGTGTACCCTTGTGTGTTTTCTCTTTGCTTGTTTCTTGTCAAACTAGAGTACATTATCTTTGTCTTTTTACAAGGTTATAGGGTTGGCCTTTGAAGAGATGAGGTAATTAGTTGTCGTTTTCTATGAATACATAGTATATGGCCTTTCCTTTATGACTTCTGACAGCTCCTATCATTATAGTGTGACTAATTCCTTAGAGCACTGAATTTTGTTTTTAATTCTTACAATAGAGGAGATAATTCAACTTCTAATTATCCTTTTTCACTGTACTCATATCTGCAGTGATGGAAAATTACAAGAACGTACCGCGTCATCTTTATGGTCTCACACCTTCACAGCTAGACATGTTCATGACTGAAGATAATCCAGTTCGTCGACAGTCAGAAAGTGTTACAGAGGTTTTCTTTCATTTTTTTTATCAGACTGGTGTTGATTTAATAATAAGCAATTGTGTATTATTAGTCCTTTTGGGAGTTGAACTTCTTCTATAACTTATCCTCTTCTGACAAACCATATGTTCTTGGTTTTTGACAACTCTTGACAGGAAAGTATCTCATCTAGAAGTAACTATTTGGAACATGGGGGAATGTACAGTGTATCAGGCATGATGGATAGGGGTCCTGCAAAATATAGCATGAGCGTAAGCATGTACCGCGGAGGAGGCAGAGGATATGGGAGACCGAGAAGTGCTCCCCCTGATTTGCCTTCTTTGCTCTTAGATGCTCGGATATGTTATCTGGGAATGCCAGTGAGTTGCAGCACTTCATCTCATTACAAATTCTCATTAGTGGGTTAAATTTTCACATTACTTATATCATCATGATTTCATGTCCGATTCCTGCAGATTGTACCAGCTGTCACCGAGCTTCTGGTTGCTCAGTTCATGTATTTGGATTATGATGACTCTTCAAAGCCTATATATCTATACATAAACTCATCTGGGACACAGGTAAGGAACTCCTTTTCCTTCCTTTTTCCTCCTATTGAAACACTTGTTTTGCTCTCTGGATCTGATGTTGACTAACATTCTAAACCATGACCAAGTGACTTTCACTTTCTGACATGTATTTACTTGTCTTTGTTAATTTGGTTTCCTTGTGCAATTTAGAATGAGAAGATGGAGACTGTTGGTTCTGAAACAGAGGCATATGCCATTGCTGACGCTATGAATGTAAGTATTACTATCTGTATCTCATAATTGTGTTTATATTCTATCGATGAATAACATTATTAATCAAGATAAATTGGATCTATTAGGTAAGGAAATTTCTTCTCTAATAACACTTTGGGCCTTGGTTTTTTGCTGTATATTGCACGAAGGTTACTAGCAGATTCATTTTTGTTTATATTATATCTTGAAACAATGGTCTTTTGCATGTGTAATTTGTGTGTAGGGCTCCAAAAGAGCTGAGCCAAACCAAGCCGAAGTACTGTTGACCTTGAGCTTGGCTCAACAAAAGTATATTTGGGCTCGAGCTTGATCAGAGCTTGAAAAATCAAGCTTCCAGCTTAGCTTGTTTACGACTAACAGTTAAAAAAAAAAATTCGCCTTTTTTTTTGGCTCTTATAATCCTTTAATCAAACTAATTAATTTATTATCCTTTAATCAACCTCTTATCATCCATTCAATTAGCTTATCGAACAAGATCAAATGAGCTTTTTTCAAGCTAAGCCTTGCAGCAGAAGCGCAGCTTAGCTCATTTACAGCCCTATTTTTGTGTTGTTATACATATGGTTTTCAATTAGTTTGCCGTCCTTCAATCAACTTCTTAATTTGCTTGAAACTAATTGTGTGTTGCCTTTCCTATTTGCTTGAAGTACTGTAAATCAACTGTCTACACTGTGAATTGTGGCATGGCATATGGTCAAGCAGCAATGCTCCTATCTCTAGGAGCCAAGGGTTTCCGTGCTTTACAGCCAAACTCATCTAGTATGTTCCAACTTCTCTTTAATGTTTAACCTATTCTTATGGGTTCTTTTGGACAGTATATTTTGCAACTTGGATATAGTTACAGCAGTAATATAATTTTCTCATCTTCTGTTTGCTGGTTAACAAAAGTATAATCTTTAGGAAAGCATGTGGGAATAATTGAATAACATGACATCGTTAGGTTGTGCAATGAGTTCTGTGTTTGCACTGCCTGTCTGCCTGAGATACAGAATTTTTGAAATATTATATCCCTGGCTAATTTAATTATTTTCTTTTTCATTAGCACTTCCATTTAACCCCCCACCATCAAGCCTATACTTCTTTCTATCTGTCTTTGTTTTTTAATTAATTAGTTTATGTATTATTGCTTCTGGTTTGACCACAAAATTGTTTAATCTTCATGATGATCAATGGTTTGGTATGGTAAGCAGAACTTGCAAACATTGATAGATTTTCCTGCAGATTTAGAACTGTTTTCAAAAGACCAAAGAATCAGTAATCTTCACTCAAATTGATCTTTTATTCTGCATCTTTATTTCTTCTACCCCTTATACATTACGTGGTGAAATGGTGGGCAACTAGACATATCTCAGTCCAACCTATATGCATTTGGGCATGTCTCATTTTGTTTTCCTTCTTTTGATTCAAATAACATGTCCTACCCTTTTGAAGCCTGAACTAAGTCTAACTTTCCGGTGGAATATATGTTCATAGCTCCTGTTGAAGAAACTGTATGATTTGTACTTGCACTTTTGCTCTGAAAAAAAAAACTACCCATTCAGCTTGTTGATTTCTTGTACATGCTGTAAGTCCATCATTTTGGCATAGATTCAAAATTTAGAGTTATGAGTATCACACAATTTATGACTTCTAACAAGGTCATTTTCAATTTCAGCAAAGTTGTATCTGCCTAAAGTCAACAAATCAAGTGGAGCTGTGATAGATATGTGGATTAAGGTGCTCTGTCCGTCTCTCTCTCTCCTCTCTTGCTCTGTGTTTCTGCCTCTTTAACAAACTCTTTTTTACGAACTCTTACATCAGGCAAAGGAACTTGATGCAAATACCGAGTATTTCATTGAACTATTAGCTAAGGGAACTGGAAAGTCAAAGGAAGAAATTACTAAAGATGTTCAGCGACCTAAATATCTGAAAGCACAAGAAGCTATAGACTATGGTCTTGCAGACAAGATAGTTGACTCGAGTGATGATGCTTTTGAGAAACGGGTAATATTATCATTACATCTGGCTTATGTTTTCACTTGCATTGCATGAACCAAAATGTAGCACAATAATGAACTTTTGAGCTTTCAGGATTATGATGCATTGCTTGCCCAATCAAAAGCCATGAGGGCAGGAGCGGCTGGTCCAAGAGCAGCTCCTTCAGGGTTCAGGTAATTACAGAGCAGCATAGAATGTTAATTTGAAGGGGAAATATAAAGGAAGTCTACGCAGTTGATGGTGGAGCTAGTTACTGTGACTTGATAGACCTCAGTTAGCGTACATGTCTTCAATTGCTGTATGCAAAATACGTATCTTGACCGAAGGGCTATGTAAAATTTACATGTGTAGCAAACGGTTGCTCTTTCATAATGCATACTGTGATCCTTATATTTCCTGATACCTATTAGAATTTTTTGCTACTTTTTTTCTTTTGGCATTGCCCATACTCAAAATTTTTTTTTCTTGGGGGAAAATGGAAGCATTGGTGTGAATGGAGGACCAACTTACGCCCTATGCATTTGCTTCTGATATGGTGATTTTTTTTTATTCTTTTTTGTTATTTTTCGTTGGAGGGTGTTGATTAGGTTAAATGCACAGCTTTTATTGTTTGCCTTTTGTTTGTTTTTTCAAATAAAACCAGAAGAAAAGCTTCAGATCTGATTTATGCCAAAAATAAAATTCATGGGCAAAAATAAATAATTTCGAAATAGATAGTATTTACATGAATTAATAATTGCCATCCATGAGTGTTCATATCACACAAGAATAATGAATGACGAGATTTGTATAGGTTTTTTTTTTTTTTTTTTCCGTTGGATTTATAATTTACATCACTAAGAAACGGCTCAGGTTCGTAAGTGATTCAAAAGAATTATTCCTGCTTATGGTTGATTTTCAAACATCTTAATTCATTAATTTGCACAATATGATAAAATTGTCAGCGTATGCTCACAAACATCTACATATATGAAGAAATAGAGGTAAAGTATTTACAGAATTCAACATAGTTATAGAACTTTTGGCATAAACCTACAGTAATTGCTTGGGCTAAAAAGGAAATCAAAAATAAAGAGAAGAATTCTAGCTTAATTCAAAATCAGTTTTAACATCAAGTTCAGACAGCTTCATTTGAGAGAAATGTAGCCTGTGCACAAAATTACTACGTATAAAGAGCATGGAATAGAGGCTTTTGTAATTATGCTGGAGGATTTGGGAACACCTTCGGTTTTGGCTTGACTTCTATTTCATTTACGCTGCGCACAAAGATTGCATCTGGTTCATGGCTGCAAGAAGGGCAGCTGTTAGAAGTGATAAATGAGCCAGAGAGAGAGAGAGAGAGAGAGAAGAAGAAGAAGAAGAAGTAGAAGAGAAAGTTGGGAAACAAGAATTGCACATACACTTTCTCTCCCTCTTCAAACGTGTAGCTTGATGCTACAGCCAACAGACGACCATCTCTGCTAAATGAAAGTGCTGCAATGCTTGATGGGTACTTCGAATACTGGAAAATACGAGCAACAATTTCAAAAATGGTCATAAGCTTATGAGAAATAAGTTAAGATTACCGTATCCTAGCAACCTCTTACCTGATAAAGCCTCTTTTTATTGTTCCCATCCCATACATTAACAAATCCATCACAGCCTCCAGTTGCAAATGTACCATAGCTGCAGGTTAATTTTGGAGCAGAAAATAATGAGAAACGAGCATATAGAGGAAATGAGTTGCTATTATTACTAATTTTAAACATAAGAGATACTGTGTAACCACATCAGTTCAGGCACAAAAAATAAATAAGTCCAATAGAGCTTGCAAGAAATTTGATTTTATGCCCCCTTAACAAATAGAGTTAAGCGCACTTCAAAAACCTTATACTTAATGAATTTTCAAACTACAGGAGAGAGAAGGCTATTTTCAAGAGAAATTTCATATAATTTCTCAACATATGTGCTTATCAGTTCAATTGGGAAAAAGATATGCACATTTACTAGCTTAAGTTTCCAGTCAATATTCCCTTTGCTAGGCTGAGGCACATACAAAAAGAGTCATCTGCATCTCTCAATCAAACAGTTACAGAACTCAATCCATAGAGAATCTTCAGAAACTTACACAGGATGAAACGCAATAGCATTGACAGGATAAACAATGTCCCTTCCAGCTTCTGACTTTCGATGACACTTGAATGCATATCTGCAAAAAACTTAAACTCCATCAAGACATAGTGAAATGAAAGACAAGATATTCTGTCACTGAAATGCACATATGTAATCCAATACTTTTATTGATTGTGCCGTGTTGAGAAAACCATTTATTGACTAAACTCCCTAACACAAAAATCATGTGTTGGCATCAATGTAAGCGCCAATAATGAAAATGATAACAAGAAATCCTAGCATTTGCAAAGAACATAGATTACATAAAACACAATAAGAGCACTCTCTATTACTTGCAAAGTGAGCATATATCCAGAATGCTTGATGCATATAGGAAGATTCATAGAAGAGGAGCAAAAAAATATATCAATATCTTCCACAGAGCTAGAATGTCTTAAAACATCTATTAATTCTTGAATCAACATATCAACAGGTGGCATATTTGGATAATATAGTCCATATTATCAAAAAATCAAAAGACAGATTATAGGAACATCAATCAAGAAGTGCAAGATAAATTCCACATGTACTTCTTTAAGGAGAAGAGAAAAACCATACTTTTTTGCTTGGCTAGCCTCTGAAAGATCAAAAAACTCCATTGCAACCCTTCCTTCAACTGAACTAAGAGCATATCCTGCATATGGTAATCCAAATAGCTTTACAATATATACTTCGAGAATATTTATAATTTATGTACAGAACTATCAGTAAGATATGCTTATTTCAACAAATCCTTAATGACAATAGCAGAGAATACGCTGCCACTTTGATGTTAGTGTCAATACCTGTTCCATTGGGATAACAGCGCACGCATCGAGTTTGATATTTCAGTGAAGATTCTCTTCGTTGCTCAGGTTGAGACATATTTCTCAAATCATAGATATTTACATGTCTTCCTGCAGTTGCTACTACTAAACGATTTCCAACAAGAGATAATGAGTAAACGCGCTCAGGTTGAGGATATGTGCCTACAAGAGTGCGTTCTTGTCCACTTGCTCCTCTGGGATCCCAACATTTCAGTGTTTTGTCCCAGCTACCAGTGATGACTTGCCCTATTAATTTCAGAAGGGAAAATTGGAATGGGTCATAAATCTCTCATATATGAAATAGAAAAGACTGCTCCCTGATATTCTATATGTACATTCTAATAATTTTATAGCAATATCATATGAATATGATGAAAGTATATGAAAATTATGCTTCCAAGAGTCGAGCAACTGACACTTGTTTAAATATAAAAATTAAATAAATAGGATAGAGCCATAATAAGTTTATAAAAATTGAAACATTTCCCATTGCCCAACCTGACAGCAGATACAAGAAAGTGTATCAAATACAAAAAACTGAAAATTAGAGAAAATTTATACAAGCTTGAGCATATACTGATTATTCTCAGGCACTATGAGTTAACAACTGTTGAACTACATTCCTAATTTTGATGCTGTTGTGAAGTGCCACCAGTTGAAAGAGAGAAAATGTGCCATATTTGTTTTTCACATAGATATCTAAAGCCAAAACTAGACTTCGCTCTCGTAGGAAACATGAAGAAGACATCACACAACTTTGGTGTTTTGACAACGGCCAGATATTTAACTAATATATGCTACACTGGTGTGTATATATATAAAGTACATCCATTTTATCCATCATCTTGCTCTAAATTTGAATTACTTTGACTTCATTCTAACCAATTCCATCATAACCTTTCCATGATGGTGATAAAAATTGAGTGGCTTATAATAAACATAAGCTACTAGAGATAATTGTACACCAGAACAAATTATTACAACAATAACAAATATAAAAGGGAAGCAAGTCAATCGTAGTCTAACACACCTGCTGCATAAGAGTACTCAATACAACGGACAGGAGCGTCGTGCCTTCCCAAGATATCCTCTTTTCCATAGTTAAAAACCAGCCTGAAACATCAATTGCAAAATCTTAAGTTTGATACACACTGTCTCCCAAAATGTTCTTGCATTATAAACATGGAAATTCTGGTAAAGTCCATGGTTCTCATCCATACATTAGGAGGCAGCTATAAGACAATGCAAAAACAGATAAAGTAAACCATCCAGCAAAGGTTGCATGCACAAGCAAATGATATGCAACTCTTATGAAGAAAATTGATAGAATTAAATATACCAAGTAGATTTAGTAGATTTTCTGATAGGAAACGAAAAATCACATTGAAATGATATAAAAGTTAAAAGTAGATTACTGTTGGAATCCATCTTGTGTAAGCTCTTTTTATAGTTTATTTCCCAACAATATTTAAACCGATAAGAAAAGGAACTGAAGGGAAAAGAATATTCCGACTGACTGAGATCTAGAAATGAAAAGCATTTAGAAGCTTCAAATAGATAATAAGAAAAAATTTTCCAGCTGTATATAATGGTTACATTAACTAGCTATTTTAGGCTATGCCAGTAATTACTAAATCAGTAAGATGCATCAGGTACTTGGCAGATCCCAAATCTTCCAAATTATTCTTCCCCATTTCAGCTTAAATGCTCATGCATACAGTGATAATTCAACGTTGGCAGATCTTCAAAACCATCTTAATTTATTTGCATAAGTTAGACAGCTTAAAATATTGGTTCAACATACTAGAGGATGAATAAATATATAAAATAAAAACCAACCTGTCGAAAGTTCGATAGCAACCAAACAGAAATATTAGGACAAAAACGATGGGAAAATAAACTGACCGTCGCACAGTATTATCAGCGCTAGCACTGAAGCCAGAGGAGTCGTCGTGGAAGCAGCAATCAAGCACTGGCCCGCCGTGCATAAACTCTCCTCGCAACGCATTAGCACTTGCATCGTACAATCTCACACTCTACGCACCAAATCAAAAATATAAAATGATAATAACGATAAAACTAAGAAATGATTAGAGAGATAATACTACCTTATCCCAGGATGAGACAAGGAGATGATCGCTGTGATTGGAGAAACGTAGGTTCGATATTCCGTCGGACGGTGGACTAGAGAGCTCGCGGCCGGATCCCGGCGGCGGGAGGACAGTTGTCATGTCTGTGATTGATTTGAAAAGAGAAGGAGATTTGCTAGGGTTTTGAGAGAGAGAGAGAGAGGGAAGGAGAATAGAAAAATTTGAATGTGGAACAAGGAGCTAAGGTTTTTGAATGTTTTTGTTTTTGTATGGAGAGGGGGATTTGAATTTAAATTTGAAATGGAAGGGGGCAATGGATCGGAATGGCCATAATTAAAGCTTCCCCTTCCTTGTTTTTGTTTAATTTATTTTATTTATTTAAATTAATTTTTAGAGTTAAAGATTAAAAAAATGTTTTTTCTTTATAATATTTTTAATTCTGTATAGAAACTTTTCTTTTTTTTTTTTTTTTTTTCAAATTTACAGAAAAATTTTCACACTATATAATAATAATTGATTTGATTGTTTGCGGTTAAATACATATCTACATATATTTCGTAAAAAAATTTATTTGTCTTTAAAAGTATCTCCATTGATATGGTTTGCACATAATACATAATGCTTAAACAATTGATATGACTAATTGCTCATAATGTGTCTCGTCACGTCATTGATATGAATTTGTATTAAGGTGATATTTGGAGCCGGCTCTTAATATTTAAATTCATCTCTATATTTTTTACAGAAAAAATAATCACATTTTTAATTTTTTTTAATTTATTAAACACTTTAATTAATAAAATACATTTATTAAATATTTAATTTGACTCGTTAAATATATCAATTTGTAAAATTAATTAAATTAAATATTTATTGAGTGATCAAAAAATATAAAAATTATTGTCAAAAATTTATAATAACCACATATCAAATTAATATTTTATATATAAAAATAAAAAATTTTAAAAATTATTTTTGCTAATATAATGAGACGTGAGATTGTTAGAAAATATGAAATTTAAAGTGTTTCAAGATTGATTTTAGAATTTTGAGTGTCATAATATTCCTTTATCAAAATTCAAAAGTTAAATTATGTATTCCGTTACTTATAGCTAATTATACTTGTTTGATTGTCTATTTGTTTTTTAGTTTGTTTTTGTTGATCGCATTTTGTCTTTTGAATGTAAAAAACCAACTCTCGACTTTCTAATTTGATATTTATATATACATTTTAAAATTAGCAACTATTTGATAGTTAGGGTTTTTTTTTTTTTCCCCCTTCGTCAAAGCATTTATTTTGTTAGGAATAGTATCTGAATTTTTATATTTTTTTATTTTAGTATTAGAACTAAAAATCTTATTCGCCGAGTACGCAAAACTTTTTGAAAAAATTAATAAAGTGCTCAATATTAATTCAAAACTAGTCGTCAAGCCGTGATCACATATAGATATTAATATATTATTTGAGTAATTATTTATTGTGTATTACGTATTTTTAAAATTTTTTATGTGCAATGTAATGTTGAAACTAAGAATATAATAATGTTTATAAATATTTTAAATAAAATCTGGAAAAATAATTAAATCCAAATTAGAGTAATTTATTTATTGTGGTATTACGTAATTTTTAAAATTTTTTAATGTGCAATGTAATGTTGAAACTAAGAAAATATAATATGTTTATAAAATATTTTAAATAAAAATCTGGAAATAATTAAATCCCAAATTATTATATAGTATATTAATAAATTAATTTAATATATTATATATTATATTAATTTGAAATGTTTAGAATTGATATAAAGTAAATTAAATATATAATATATAGGCACTTTCATTAAACATATATATTATATTAAACATATATATTATATTACTACATTTTTCTGGCTTTGAATTGTTCAAAATCTTCATAATTTAACTTGTTTTTGGCAAATAAATTAGTAAATCAATATTAATGTTCAAAACTTTAAAAGTGATACAATCAAAATTTGAAATAAAGAAAAAATTAAATTTTAAATTCAATGATATATAATTAATATAATTAGATTTTAAAAGTTATAATTATTATTATTGAATATATAATTTTAACTTTAAATAATAACTTGAGTGATAAAATCATAATATAGAAAAATAAAGAGAGAAATTAAAATAAACACCTATAATAGAACATTAAAAAAAAAAAAAAAAAACACCTATAGAAGTTATTTTCTTTTTATTCTAATTCTTTATTTTGTTAATATAATGTTTCTCTTTTTCAATAGGAGAATAATTAATCTAGACTTTTAATTAATTCTTTCAAATTAATTATATATTATTAAATTTTGTTAGTTAATATTATAATAAATTTAGAACCTAACAATACTATTCTTCAAAATTCTTTGTAGTATATGTAATAACAAAAGTTAGACACATAACTTGGAAAAATTTTTACAGAAAAATGAAAAATTAAATAATTCTTGTATTCTTCTGCCGGTGAAGTAAACAATGCTATACAGGCAAAATCTAACAATACATGAAAATTATCATATCATAAACATTTGAAGATGGAAAGATAGTCCAGGCTCTTGCAAGAATTCCTTCAGAAGGTCTAGTCTTGTTCATTGGCTATCACATGTTACTGGGATTTGATTTATAACCAATAGTAGCCCAATTTCTTATTAAAAGAAATATTCTTTTGAGAGGAATAACACATCTACTGAATTTTATGAGACTGAGAGAAGGACCATTTACTTCCAGATTTCACAATTTGACATAATCAGACATATGGGTGCAGTTCCTGTTTTAGGAAACCTTCTCTATGAACTTCTGTCTTCAAAGGCTCATGTATTATTGTATCCAGATGGTGTGCGTGAGACCTGTCATCGGAAGGTAACGTTGTTAGTTTTGCCTTTTATCCTGAAAATTAACATTTGAAGAAAGCTCGGCATTCATATTCTGAATTTTGATTCATCATTCTTTGGATTATCGGTCTATTTTATAATGAAATTTGCCTTCTATGATGTGGCTTTTGACCAAGAGTCAACTTTTCGTGCCTCTCTGGTTAAGGAATACATATTGTTCTGGTGATAACAGTCTGAGTTTGTTAGGATGGCAGCTCAGGTTGGAGCTAAGATTGGCATTGTTGGAGAAGATGATTTTTTTGAAGTAAGCCTCTCTGGTTAAGGAATACATATTGTTCTGGTGATAACAGTCTGAGTTTGTTAGGATGGCAGCTCAGGTTGGAGCTAAGATTGGCATTGTTGGAGAAGATGATTTTTTTGAAGTAAGTCCAAAGTATTTACTTCATATGCTCTTGCCTTCTATCAATTTGTTATATGAGGCACACTGCTCATGTTTTTGGATTTTTGAATTGTAGCCTACAAAAACTGGGAAAAAAAAAAAAAATCACTTGTGGAAAGAAAATTGCTAGCACATCTACATGTGATAGTTCAGATCTGAGCCATGAGCATATCCAAGTGTGATCGTTCAGATGTGGCAAGCAATTCCAATTCGATAAGAAGAAGAACTATTACAAATAAACAAATTTATGAATTACGTTGAAAGGAGGTAGAGGTAAAGAATTATATATAACATCATGTTCAATTAAAATAAGTGTACTTAGATTTTGAAATTTTGGTTGTATTAGGTTACATGATTAGATTAGGTTTTAAAAATTCCACTATCACTATTATACATTAAATATTAAATTGAAAAAATTGGCCAATCAAAATACAAAAAAATAAAAAAAAATTAAATTTAAAAAAAAATAAAAATAGGATACCAAACAAAAGAGAACACTTTTAAACTTTCTCTTTATTTTAGCTTTTTATATATATATATATATATATATATCGAAAAAGATATAGAGAGAGTTCGAGCCATTTCCACCGTAAATATTATCACAAATTTGGTGAATACTTTTTACAGTAAAAAAGTTAAAAAAAAAAAAAGGGCTACCCTTGTTTCGATGATGTGGTCTTTTCTCAATCCACATCCGTTGCTAACAATGTGAAGTTAGAATCAACTTCTCAGTCATAGCTCGAATTTTGACCTTCCAAATCAGATGAAGCGACTAATTGAATTTTTTTAAAAATTCATGCATTTGATTAATAAGGTTTCCAAAACATCAAAATTAAAAAATTTTAAAAATTTAGACTCTTAAGTTCTAATTTCACATGCATTCTACTTAAAACAATATTATAATTTAAAATTATCAATTATTTGTTTTTTAATTGAAAATAAAAAATCTAAATGACCGTTTAGGCATCAAATCAATTTCTTTTATATGAAAATTTTGATTCATTGAATAAGCAGATACACAATAAGAAGTAGCCCTCTTTTGGCTCACTTTGACAGTTTTTATAATCAAAAATACTCGAATTCGACACCTTTCACTTTTCACACGAGTAAGAAGATGAATCAAATTTTTATATTAAATTTTCATAATAAAACACGCTTTTTTCAATGAATTTTTTTTTTTTAAGATATGTTTATGGTTTGAATTGTGTATACAACGAAGAAATTTATCTATAAACGTTAGTAAACTTGATATCAAATTGCCAATTATATCTTATAGAGAATAAGATTGATAAATGCAATTATAACAAAGTTAATGGAATTAAATTGTTCTCTTTTGTTCTCTATATAAATTATATTTTATTGGTTTAATTATTATGCTGTCCCTTGGGGTAATTATTATGATATTGTGCAAATTTACTCTCTGCATTATCCATATGTTATACAAGTTGGCCTAATTATTAGTTTTTTCATTATAAAATATAAAAAATTTCCTAATAATAAAATAAATAAGATGAATAATATTGGCAAGAAAAATAATAAAATAATAAAAAATAGTAAAAATATTCCATTTTTTTAGCTTCACTTATCCTAATTAGTAAGGAAAGTAGTAAGACATCTCCAAGAATCTTTTTATGTTAGACTGCGACTTCCAATGACTCTTAACCTCTTGAAAATCATCTCTTATTTGAATAGTTTCATAAATTACGATCTAAGAAATCTATTATTTTATAAAATATTTTTTATATAGTCAATTAATTAAATTAAGCATCTAGATAAATACTTTTGCCAATCTCTACATTTAACATATCCAATAACTCTGAATATAAAAAACTATATCATAGAATATTATATTAATTGTAATTTGTAAAATTATATCTCTAATTTAGAAAGTAACTCACAATTACACTTTGGAATAGTTGTTTGGATTAAGAGAAAATATGGATTCATTTTTAATGCCTTTAATTTTATAGTTCAGATTTTCAATGAGGGTAAGTTGGTATTTTTAAATAGTAATAAAGTGTTCTATTTTATGCAAGCAATACATGAGCAGTTAGAAAAGTTTTTGCCGAAAATTTGGATTTTAAAATTTTTTAGCAAATATTTAAAATATTTTAGTTTTTAATATTCAATTTTTTTTGAAGATAATATTATGATTTCATATAAAAACTTCAAATCAATACAAATATTACAAGGAGAATGTGACCCCTCTCCTGAAAACCAGACATTGAATAAAAACTATAAAATAATAATTGTTTGCTGATCTAATAAGAAATTCTAATAAAAAATAGGAGGTGAACTTGAAGAAAACGAATAGATCTTTAAAAGTGGTTGATTAGATGAACTCTCCGAATCTTCTATACATGACATAATTATTTATGAATTAATTGCTTATGACGAACACGAGGATTTGAACCACTAAATTAAATGAAGGAACAAATGCAACCTATCCCAATAAACCAAACAAATGCAAACAACAAAATTTGAATTAATTGCTTATGACGGAACACGGAGGGAATTTGAACCACTAAAATTAAATGAAAGAGGAACAAATGCAACCTATCCCAATAAACCAAACAAATGCAAACAACAAAAATAAAATTTCACATTTAAAATTGAAAGATTTTTAGATGAACTCTCCGAATCTTCTATACATGACATAATTATTTATGAATTAATTGCTTATGACGAACACGAGGATTTGAACCACTAAATTAAATGAAGGAACAAATGCAACCTATCCCAATAAACCAAACAAATGCAAACAACAAAATAAAATTTCACATAAAATTGAAAGATTATAAACTCTACACAAGATGGAGATAAAATACAAATAGTATCAGAAACATAAATAACATGAATCTATGATAGAATAGACATAGATCTATAATTTGTTTAACAAAAAATATAAAAATTTGCAACAAAACTAAAAATGTACTAAAAATATAAAAAGGGACTGTCACAAGAGATAAGAATCAACCACTTCCCGTATATACATACTTGATTTTGTGTTTCAATTGAGAGAAGGGAAGAAAATTTTAATAAGGAAAGGGTGAGGAAAATTTTATTGTTGTTTTTAATAGCCGGTTTGTTTAATTATAGTTGTTAATAAAATATGCAATAATAGTCAATACACCAATTAATATTATATTAAACAAATACTTTTTTTTAAGTAAATATTAAACAAATAGTTAAAGTATATTAAAAAATAAAAGTAATATAAATAATAATTGGTGGAATTATTATTTTCTGAAAGAAAAAAGGAAGAGAAAAGAAAAATGGAGTGTCCAAAGGAGCTTTCTATGTACTGAACTTCAACTGAAAATCAATTCGATTAAAACTGAAAACAAAAAAAATTATAAACACTCTCTTTCATTTTCATAATTAAAAAGGTAACTATTATTTAGTTTTGCTTTCAAAATCAGATCTTCGTTCTTCTCTTGCTTTATCTATCTCTGATCGTTTAAACCCTAGAGGAGTTTGTTCGAAATTCTTGCTCTGTAGACTATAATTACCTAAATCTTGAACTCAACGATTTATAGACTCTGAAATGGTGGTCTGCAAATGCCGTAAGGTACCTCTCTCTTTCTCACTTTCTTTTGGTGATTCAATTGGTTTTTAAACCGGAATTAGTTTAAGCTGATTTTTAGATCTGATTTAGTTGATTACCTGATATTCAACGCGAGTTTGAATCTAATTCGGTCAATGATTTTGTGGTTTTTGATTTGGATTGCTTGCAATTCAGTTCAATTCGAGATTGTTGTTAATCGAGACATTGAAATGAAGGAAAAATATGGTTTGTGGAGTGGGTCTTGTTGTTCGGCGCACATTTGGTTGGTGTTTAGCTTTGCTGAGATTGATACTGCGTGACTATTGTCATTTAGATTGAGTTGGGATCTAGTCATCCAACTAAAACAGTGCTGGTACCTGCATTTTGTTTTTTAGTTGGTAATCAGCTTATGGGGATGTTTTATAAGCTGCGGAGTGCAATTTATGATTGAATTATAATTGATTATTGCTTCGGCAAAATGTGTTAATCTATCAGTTCATGTTTGTTGGCTAACTCTAACATGTCTTGATTGACAGTCAGTATACAACAGTGATTGTTAGTTGAATATGAGGATTGATTTACGTGGACTTTGCTGTTTCAGGCTACAAAATTATATTGTTTCGTGCACAAGGTCCCTGTTTGTGGTGAATGTATCTGCTTCACGGAGCATCAGATATGCGTGGTATTTATATCAAACTCTATACTTCTTTAGTTCCACCATATTAGACACTCTGGTTATATTGCCATTTACTTATTTGATGAAAAATATATCACCTTATGTTACTTTTGTAATGATGCATTCACATTTGAAAAACAAAAGGTTAACATTAAGAAGAAGAAGTGGATAGTTTTAGGGCTATTGGCAAGAGAGATATAATAATAGGAAAGTGGGGGCAGATATGAGCTTATCAGGGGAGAAATGGCCTGAAAAGGAAATATATTGGTGGTGTTTTGCAAGTGTATATCTAACCACATGTTAGGCATGGTATTACAAATGTGATTCCAAATCTCAAAATATTTTGTGGAACTTTTGGAACCAAATTTGTTGATTGAAAATTATCCATGGGTGTGGATTTGGCTATGAACAAAGCATAATGAAAACAAAAGATGTATATAGCTGACTCAACTAGTTTGGAATTAAGACTTAGTTGTTGTTTTTGTTGAAAACTATCCATGGGTTCAGTTTACTGAACATCTGCAGAATATTGTGGAACATGCATGTAGAAAATACTGTATATGTGTCCTACGTGTGTTCATGCATGTGTTCTACATGAGTTCATGCATGTGTGTATGCATTTGCTTGTATGTAACCTAGAAAAGTGAGGCTAGTTCATGCTAACTTTGTTTTTATCTTGTTACTATTGTAGGTTCGTACCTACTCTGAGTGGGTAATTGATGGAGAGTATGATTGGCCTCCAAAATGTTGCTCATGCCAAGCTGTTCTTGAAGAGGGGCATGGTTCTCAAACCACTCGATTGGGTTGCCTGCGTATGTTTTATTGCAAATAATGCTGAATGCTGTTAGTTATAAATTTCTTGTGAAATGCACAAGATGACATGCATTTATTTTGGTGTTCATTATAGATGTAATACACACAAATTGTTTGGTTTCCCATATCAAGAGCTTTCCTCCGCATACTGCACCAGCTGGATACGTGTGTCCTTCATGTTCCACATCGGTAAGAGTAGTTGAAAGTGATTTCTAGTATATGTCTACATTGGGCATTTAAATATTTCCCCTATCTTTTTACACTGCTATTTGTAATGATGTTTGGTAGTTCTCTGGGTGCTAAAGTAAACTATTTTCCAAGAAATTTTTGGTTTTAATGATGCTTTGTAGGAAGCTAATGGAACTTTAAAATTTTGGTCAGTGATGTGGTTAATGGGTTCTCAAGGAGTTAGAAATTGGAAATTCAAATAGACAGTCTTGCAAAACAGATTAAACCATGAAAGATTTTTGATAATAATTGAGGTGTAAAAGTAAAATGTGGTGATATGACCTTTAGTAACATTTCACTCGTTACGTGTGTGTGATCTCCTTGCACTTTTGATGCTTAATTGCAACTTCAAATTGGAAGAGAGTTGAGACTGGACTCTTGGATGGGAAGTTGCAACCTGTCATATAGTTTCTCCTGTTTGCTGTTCATCATTCTTCTCTTATTTCCTGTTCTTTTTCCCTGAACATTCCTGTTTCATCGTCCCACTTAAGTGTTACAGTGACAGAAATCTCAAGTTTGTTAATTGCTGCGAGGTGCTTGTTAAGTATTGAGAATTGCCACTTCATGCAAAGATCTTGAAAGGGAAGAAGTATCTACAAGGTCTCTTTTAGGACCCTACTTTAGCGGGAGCGAGTTAATATTTTTTGGTCCTTTAGTTATAATAGTTAGAAACTGAAAATAAGAGGGATTTAGCCATCGCCAAGTTAGAACTATAAATGCATGTTTTTCTTTGAGAAGTTGGAATGCCGAGATTGACAAAGAATTTGAGATGGGTGGACTATGAAAGAGGAGTCATTATTTAGTTGAAGATGCACCTTTGCGCATCAAGCATGGTACATTTTCTCATTGCGGTACTTCTTTACATGTGACTGTGGTTTTGGATTGAAGGACGCTTGGGTTCCGAGATGTGATAATGCAAAAGCTTTCCACACGACTGTGCAAAAGAAGGCTTAGGGACTTTCTCTTGAAAATTTATAATGGATTGAGAATGATGATTCTAGTTCACATATACTCAGTGTCAAACTGTTGGCTTGTGCTGCAAATCGTTTTTCTATTTAAACTATCATAAATAAAGAAAATCAGAAAACATATAGGATTAATTTCTTCCTACATCACCTTCATACCTGTTCAAATTAGTTAATGTCCTCAGCTGGTTTTACAAAGGATCTTTTGGTCAAACATTTTCGTGATATATACTAGAAGGGAAGAATTGAGAGAGTACATATTCTGGAGTTAAGGTTTTTGGCGTTGGGATATTGCAACATTGAGCACTTAGCGTATATTGCTTATTACAAAATGGGGGTGTAAGGCTTTGTCAATTTCAGCTGAAATTAATTATGTGTAGCCTCTTTTCCTTCTTAGTTGAAATTCTCGACAATTGCTTAATAAGGATTCTTCATGTTTTACAATGGCAGTTTTCAGGAGAATAAAAAAGTTGCCATTTTTTCTGTTTGTTTCAAGTCATTTTATTATTGAATTGCATTTTGCTTGTTGTGTTTAATATTGCAAGTCTTTTCTTATTGCGGGTGTCTGTTAATGAGATAATGGCAAACTTTTTCTCAGGTTAGCAGTATCATATTACACAGAACTTCTAATCTATGAAGTTCTAAAATTTAATTTTTGAAAGAAGTTTCCTTTTTCTTTTTTTTTTTTTTTTTTTGTTTGTGAATAATTTGTTTCATGATTGCATTGGTTAGGAGTTGACTACAATATTGTTTTTGGTACACCTCAGTTTATTTCCATCTGGTGCTTTAACGTTGCAGATGTGGCCTCCCAAAAGTGTGAAAGATTCAGGATCTCGTCTTCATTCAAAGCTAAAGGAAGCTATCATGCAGGTAAGGTGCATTCTCCCTTGTGAAAATCTGAAGTTTCTTTGATAATACTTTGCTTGATTAATGTCTTAATAGTGAACCTATTTTTGGTGCGTTATAGTAAACCTTTCTGTAATGCACCTGCTTTCCTTGAGTTCACTACTTTCACCTTTATATATCTATTGATTGGGTGATTACACAAGCTTTTCTGTCCTCTTTCCTGCTTTATTCTGCTAACTGTGAATTTGCGCCCTTGATGCTCATACAAAGGGGCGGTTAATTGAATCACTTAATCCATCAAAGTTAAGGCCTTTGGTTAGATGGCAATGGCGAACATACACAGTTAATCAAATTCAGCAGGTTTATTTCTTGCTTACGGGTTTTAGACTTTACCCCTACTGTGACACGCATGCACATGCGAGACCAAATTTGCAGAGGTGTAAATGTATACTTGCACACACAAAAGAATTGACCATCATAACAGAAGCACATTTGATTGGTTGTAGGCAATAGTAGAAGAGTTCAGTTTATTAAAACGTGACAAGTGCTTGCATGACTAAAATTTTGGAGATTTTTCCACGTACATCTCAGTGGTGGGTTGACACCAAAAGATTGTACAACTCTGTCTCCCTAATACTCTTCAGGAAAGTAGATTGATAACATCTCCCCATAAAAGGTCCTGCTAGCTGTAACAAGGTGTGGAGTATGATGTTAGGAATTAATTTTTCACCTTGAAGTGTTAGTTTGGTATGATTACTGATATGATACAAGATAGCCTTTTTGTTCTCTAAGTATCCTTGTGCTTAACTTTATTCGAGAAACATGTATATTCGTTTGCGTATTCCACTTCCACCCTTGTATCCTTCAATGGTGGATATTTCATCAGGTGGGAAATGCTATTACTGATATTTGAACCTCGGTGCCTGCTTCTAAATAGCCTCAACTTTACCTCTAGCTAAGCGCTTGTTTCAAGAGAATTGAAATTATTGTCTTCCACTCTTCCTTATCATTTTTCTGATAAAGATTTAAGAAACTTCGATCACTTTTATGCAGACTGGTTTGGAAAAGAACTTGTTTGGAAATCATCCAGTTTCTTTGCCAGCACCACCTCCTGCATTTGCTTCGGATCCACTGGTTGCCATTTCCTCATCACCTTTGCTGACAAAAGATGAAATAATATCTGAAGAATATTCATCTGCAACTGGAACAGGGCCTCCTAAAATTTCAGTGGCAGATATTGTGGAGATTGATAATGCCAGTTCAGCAGGGAATTATTTGAAAAACTCAAGTCCAGCTGGTGTAAGATTTCCCCCCTTTCTCCTCTCTCTCTCCAGTTATTGTACTGTGGTATTTTAGTCAATGTACTCACCTTCATTTGTATATCTAGGTATTTTGCCTTGTTTTATTACTTCCAGTCTTCCATGTCTCATATTGTTTTGTTTTGCAATATTGCTATGCAAGCCAGCCCGGTGCTACAACACGAAAGGGTGGCATTCATGTTGACAGGCAAAATTCTGAAATTTCATACTATGCAGATGATGAAGATGGAAATCGTAAAAAGTACAGTCGAAGAGGTGAGTAGAAACTTTGCTATATATTGGCAAGTTCAAATTACAACGGAGCTTTTTCGCATATTTTGAGACCTATTTTACCAACTTACATGTATATTCTGTTTTTGTTTCCTTTGTCTACTATGGTTGTAAAATATCAAACTGACTTGAGACAATTTCTTGCATACATGTATGTAAATAGACTATCTAAAAACCAATAATTGTGATATGGAAGGCACAGTGGCCATTATAAATGTGCATGTCTTAATGGGAATAGGCTATATAGATGGCATAAAACTGATAGGGTTACAATAATAGTAACCTGACTTCTGGTTATATTTATTCCATATCTTTTATTCTTACTGCATTAATTGTGATGCAAATGAACAAAGCTATTCAACTCTCATTCATATCAGATCTGTTTGATGTATTATTGAGATAAAGTAAGATTGATGCCTGCACTATTAAATTTTTTATGCTGATGGCTTTATTTCTTGTCCAATTTTTGAACTCTCAACTCTTCCATTTCAGGTCCATTCCGCCATAAGTTCCTTAGAGCATTGCTTCCATTCTGGTCAAGTGCATTACCAACTTTACCCGTAAGTGCACCTCTACGTACAGATGATGTCCCAGAAGGCCGTGTGAGGCATCAAAGACCATCAAGAATGGATCCAAGAAAAATACTTCTCTTTATAGCAATCATGTAATCTCTGCACTTCTTTGTTAATCAATACCCCAATGATCTTCTCATGATTATGAATTATTTAAATGCTTGATTTGATTTGTCTTGGCTGTTTCTACTAGTGCAAGTGCATTACGATCACTGCTTTTGCTAATTCAAACATTTATCACGTGCAGGGCCTGTATGGCAACAATGGGTATACTGTATTACAGAATCGCTCAACGAGGTTTTGGGGAAGAACAGCCGGATGACGAGCAGCAGTAATTCTGTTAATGATGGAATCCTCCGACCATCAATTACACCATTATATACCAATGGTGCTTTTGCTTGTGCGGCTGCTTCTCTTGTATTGGTATTCCCATGTGTGCACCAGTTGTTTCTTATGTGAAATGTACAAGAAGGGGGAATGGAAGAGAATTTTATTTCCACTGTCAATGGCAGTAAAAATGTTGCATGCTCTATCTTGACCCATACTCCTTTTAGGCTGTTTCCATTTTTTTGTCCTTTTGGAATGGAATTGGAGAATTAGGTTAAAAGGAAAGATGTTTTTGATTAAAGTTCGCTTTTTTTCTGTAATTATTTGTTCATTCAGTCAATAAATGTTGCAAAAAGAAGCTGAGCAGTTCATCTGGGTTCATTTCAAAGAGGGCCTCATTAGCATTCAAAATATCCACGAGCAGGGAAATCACTTTCGTAGCATAGGGGTGTGGTTCATCAGAAATATTCGTACAAATAGATTTTTATAGTACATTCAACTTAAAAATAAAGATAATAAAAATGGTAAATTATGTAAGTTGAGACCGGTGACGATGGCAGTTGACGGGCGGCTGATGGTAATGGCTATGGATGGTTAATAAATTAAACAAGATTATAATAAATTTATAAAGGTTCGGAAAAAGTTTTTCTTTTTTGAAAATGAAATCATTTTCCTCAAAAATAATTAATTTTTCTTTGGCAAAAAATATTTTTTATTGATTTATTTTTCTGATGCTCTAAATAATGAAAAATTATAAAAAATAGTTTCCTTCAAATTATTTTAAATAAACAAATTTAGATTTTTTTTCATTTTACTTCACGCCAGCACTTGGCATTCAAATAAAAAATTAATTATTTTTCTATTAGTTAAATGGAAAATACACAACGCAGATATACCGGTGAATACGTGTTACACTTTTTCCTATAAACTATGACAACTTTGTGAAGCCAAACTAACCCATGATAATTCATTATAAGATAACTCATCGTTCTGATCCCAAACGTTGAATTGGTCAATTATTTGCTTTTTTTAACATTTTTTTCTCTTTCAGTTGCATGGACCATTTAAAAGGATCCTAATACAATAATGAGTAGTGCTATAGTAACTGATGATTAATAAAATAGAAATGACAGTAAACATTTGAAGCTCCTTTTAATGCTAGTGACATTCCGACCCGATAAAATGATCCTAAAAGGGTGGATAGAGTAAAATTATTGGCTAGCTTTTAGGATGATAGGCTAACTATGGATAGTGAAATATGAGACATACGAATGAATCGGATTGTATATCAAAAAGGGAGAAATTAATCATCAAAGTACTTTTCGGTGAAATGATTTGGAGAGTTGGAAGAACTCCAGATTAATCGTGCTTACTTAAAGGAAATTTCAAAATGGGTTACCTCATAAGAAATTCACCATTTCAACTGAGAGACACAATCATATGGGTCTTGCCAATTTAGTATGGGATGGTTAGGGTCGGGCGTCACATGTTGTACCTAAAATGGATAACTAAAAAATAACATTACACCTCTTGTTATGGTTTGTCTAATTCTTAAATATGTTTGCACGAGGAACCCATGTTCTCAAAGTGTCCAAATTTTTTTTTTTAAAATATCATGATACGTTTTTTAAGGTATTTATCATGTGTCTTGAAGTGTTTGAAAAGTCAATATCACTGCGACTACTTGAGTATATTGAACCTTTTGAGGTGTCTATACTGTATTTAAACTCAAACATTTTTAATAGTAAAATTTTATCTAACTTTTACTGGATACTTAAAAATTTCTTATTTTCTCAAAATATATATTTATCAATTTTGAATTCAAATATCTCACCACCAAACCCTAAAATATTAATGCTAACACCGGCCGTAGCATATTAATTTAGCTTTAGAAAGTTGGAATAATTTATCAATGGCAATTCAATGCTAATATGCATCTTCCAAGTCATTATATATAGTCCTTCTTCCCTAAAGAAGAATAACAACTATTTTGAATCTTTGATATTGAAATTCAGTCAAGATATGGTGGGTATTTCCATTTAAAGAGGAGGAGATTGTTTTCAATTTGCAAATTGCAATATAAATAAGAAGATGATTCCTCACATGGATGGAGAAAAATGCTAAATATATTTCATAACTTCTTAGAGGAATGTAACATCGATCAATATTTTTATGCATATGGAATATTTGGAACATCTTGGGATTACTTTTAAATTTGAGGAGAAGGCAAATATAAAGAATTTGAATTCTTAATTTGCATTATACGAAACACATTCCATCATTTACATATATAGAATAGTATTATAAAGTTTGCATGTTTAACATTATCCAAGAATACTTTGTAATTGTCAATGAGTTGTGGTCTAATTAGTAAACATTCCCTAGCTATCAAGTTTTAAAAGTGCTCTATATCAAGGGTCGAACTTCAAACCTCTAATTAACGGAAAATAGACCTTTGTCATCCAATCTCACCCCTCGATGGTTTTTATACGACACCTTATAGTTTGCACATTTAACATTATGCATTTTTTTGGTTTGTATCAATTGATGGAAGGAAGACTATTCTCCTAGCGTAGGTGATTGAGTCCATTCCACTCGAACTAACTTAAAAGTTTGGTTATCACATATATATTAATATCATAATTAAATGGTAATAGTTAAGTAATTAATGAGTCTAAGGCTCTGTTCAGGAAAATTAATTGTTTAAGTAGTTGTTAATTATTCTAGTAGGTGTTAACTGTAGAGAATAATATCTTATAATCTCGCTTCTTTAAATTCTAATACTTTAAATAATAGAGATTATATTTCGAATGTATCAAAACACTAAACACTATATTAAATGCTATTGTTCAACAATGTAAGTTTTAGTTAGTCATAAGAATGTTAACCCTAAAATTCAAAAAAGGCCTGCTAACCCTAAAAGAAAAAAAAAATCCTACTCCTACTAACATAATTATGCACCTAAAGTCGATCGTAATCTCCATGATCAGACACTAAAATCATGCTAATTGCTTATTATAAGAAGAAATGCTAATTAGTTTAAGGCTTAAAGTACAGAAAGATGCTTTCCATTTTTCCCCAACTTTCTATGAGCTCGCGATACAACAAATTTATTATTCGATTCCTATACATAGAAAAACTACAAAAAACTATATTTATAACATGAATAAACTACGTGTGAACACTGTACGTTCACCATTTGCAATAGAATATGCAAATCCCCATAATAATAAAGCAGGTTGCAAAAAGAATAAAAATTGACGAAAACATATCGTATGATTTAGACACGTCTCATTCTTGAAGGTAGGGTTGACAATGGATGAGGTTTATTTAGATACCCAACCTGATTCGATCCTAATAGAATAAATTCGGATTGTTAATAAATGAATTTGAATTCAGATAGTGCATTTTAAGCATGTATCTATCTAACATGAGCCCATAAATTAATCACTTTTTCTTCAATTTAATTGGATGAATATTATAATCTAAGATATACGGACACCTTAAAAGGTTCAATATATTTGTATCCGTGTTAGGCGTTAACACTTTTTGAACACTCTCGGACACACACTGACACTTTTTGAACACTCCCGAACACATGTCAGACTCTTTCAAAACTGTTTCTTATTATTTATTTTATTTTTTTAATTTTGCATACTTTAAGGATATCTCTCAAGATATTTTAAGGACACTTCTAAAGATAATTTGGAGATACATTTGAAAATTAAAATATAGAATGTGGTCAAAGATTAAATTGATTTCTTTTAAAAATGTTGGAATTCTTTAAATTATCAATCTATCCATAAATAAGCTAGAAATGCTATGATTTTCAATGGTGATATTAATTTTGAGAATTTAACTAATTATATTGACATAATAAATTAAGTATTTTTTTTTTTTGTTTTATGTTTGTGATTTATTATAATTGATTGTTTATTTATTTAAATTATTAACAAGTTATACTTGTTTAGTATAATGTGTCCTAACCATATCGGTGTCTAATTTTTAAAAAATTGCATATCCCATATCCGTATCTATGCAATGGTATCCTTACCCTATTACCATGGACCTCCTAAAATTCAGCTTATAGTTTAGTCACAGTTAAGGTTCTGTATCCCCTGTAAATGTATTTAGTAAGGATCAAATCAGAAAATTTTTCTCACATATCCTGTTTATATTACCAACTGAGATACAACCCATAGATAAGATTCAATTTCTTAGATTTAGTATATAAATGAGAATTTTTGCTTATTTATGAATATTTTAATTTCAACATAAATAATCGGTTTTTCATCTAATTAGAAAGATGAATGTTATGCAATGTACGAAAATTAGCATGTGAAACACGATGCACAGAAAAAAAAAATGTCATAGCCAAAAAATTTGAAATTTGAAGTTCCTAATCAAGGTTACAATTCTATTCTATCTCATTCTATTCATATGTTTAATATTTAAATACCAAGATTTATACGTGGACGAGTGTTAAATCCAGCGCAAACCAATCCAATCAAAACTACACATATAAATTCATGTACACATTTTTCCAGCTGCCAGCCAAAAAAAAAAGTTCCATAAGAACTCCATATTCAGGTCCATCGTGCAGGCCGGCCAATTAAGAATAAAAAAAAAAAATATTAGTTTTATTCTCATTTCCATTAAAGAACAATCTACTATAAAATGCAGTTAATATATATATATTTTTTCATTCTCATTTCTCATTCTCATCGTCATCAACCAAACAAGGAACAAAATCAGATTACAACAGTTCTGCAACACTTGACTGCAATGCAAAGATTTTATTCCTGTAATTATTATTATTATTATTAAGCTGTTTGTTTCTTTTCAAGAACTCTTATCATTATTAACAACCTTTTTATTAATATCATCCTACAAGAGATCGTGCAATGGCCGGCGCCAAACTGCTTAGAAACATAAATTTATGTATAAATCAACATTAATATTAATATCAAAATTAAAATATTAACCGTTATATGAAATTAATACTTAATTTTACGCGTCCAGAGTGTGAAAAAGGTCGCCGGAATCTCAGTTTGGGATTTCTGTAGAGGATCAATATATGGTCCATGGTCTTTTTTTCTTCTTCTTCTTGTTCTTGATTTTTTATAGTTTGGGTTAATAAGTTATTGGGGTCGTGTTTTCAGTTCAGTGTTTGTTACGTATATAAGATTAGGGTTTTGTTTCTCTGTTTTTTAATATTATCTTCATTTCTTTGTACAGCTCACGTTGTGCAATTTTGCATTAGAGTTTTTATTAATATTATAATTGTGTTTCTCGTGATGTCTCTCCTTTTATAATTACGAAGTCCCTTTCTTTTACATCAACTACACGCCTAATACGTTAAAATGTCATGGGTTTTGCAGGTTTTTGCAATTTGTTTTTTTTTTTTTTTGCAATTTCATAGTATTTTGACATTTTATCAATTTTATTCTAATTTTGATCTTTACAGTAATAACACATTCAATTGCAGTTAAGGATGCAATGCCAAATAAAAAAATACTTTTATTATTTTAAAACATTATGGGATATTTATAAAAATTTTAAAAATAACTTTTGTAACTAAGAGGACTCAAAATTAATAGTAATTTTTACAGTTAAAAGGACTCAAGCTCGACACCTCTGATTTTTTATGTCTTTTACAAGGTGTGACAGGACTAATCAGATCAGATACGATGATGGTATAATATATACTAATCGATCAGATACGATGCATGGTAGTATAATATATATATATATATATATATATATATATATATATATATATATTATATATATATATATATATATATTTATATTTTTTTTTTTTGACATTACAGAAGAAAAAATAAACAAGAAACACAAGCCAATGAAGGAACGAGACATGACAACAGCGAGCACTAAGAACAGAAATATAACAATAAAATCTCAAAACCAATAAAAAGGGAGTGGATACATAATATAACAAGAATAAAACGATTGGCTCCTACTTTAGTGGCTCTGTAACAGTAAAATTACATATTTTTTTGATTACAGAAGAAAAAAACTAAACAAAGAAACACAAGCCAATGAAGAAACGAGACAGACAAACAGCAGCACTAAGAACAGAAATATAACAATAAAAAATCTCAACCAATAAAAAGGGATGGATATCATAAATATAACAAGAATAAAACGATTGGCTCCTACTTTAGTGGCTCTGTAACAGAAATTACATATATTAAATTCCAACCTCTATAATAATCGACTGACAATAACTATTTGTTTTCTCTACATGTGAATCATTTCATTCACATAATAATATCAAATAGGGAGAAACCAAAATAAATATTCTTAATTTTAGTTTAAGTGTTGAACAATTTTTCTGTAGAATAGTAAATTTGTAATCTTAAGAAGAATAAAGAAATGGGCAACAGATTAAACCTCAACCCTAATGGCCTAAAATATTATATTGTATAGTCTTAACCGTTGAGAATCTCATCTCGACTAAATAGTCATTCCATAAAGACATATAAGAGTGTCAAGTTAATTAGCTAACTTGTTAGTACTAACAGTTTAACATTGATTGCCTGAAGCCCAAGTAAGCTCGGGAATCTGTTTTCTTAAATGGACAATGATTTAAAGTGCAAGAAAGATTACTATATGTACTTCTCAAAAAAAGGGATCGAACCTAAAATACAACTCTTTTTTTTTTTTTCAAGTAGTTTATTTTAAAGGCTATCAATTAATATAGTGAGCGTGGAATATGATTTGATTGCGTGGAATATGAAAATCTATCTCTTAATTACTTTAATTTCATGTCTTAAATATCATGTTTTGAAATCTATAAATGTGACAACCAACTAGATTTGTATATAATCTAATATTCAAATGCCATTTAAAATTTTATTTTTACTATTAAATAAGACGGATAAAATTATAATTATGATCAAACCTGAACAATAAGTAATTATTTATTTACCAAAAAAAAAAAAGCTGACTTGTCTGAAGATTAAAATGTCATTATCAAAGGTAAAAGTTGAATTAAGTTGAAGAAGCACTTGGTAGGGTATAAACAAGAAGGAGACAAAAGAATCCAGTAAACTGATACAGTGTCTGGTTCGAGGCAGTTAGTTATAGAGAAAGAATGTCAATTACCTAAAAACAAGATCATTATCAGCCGTCCTATATTTCATTCCCGTTTACCTCAATTTCTTTATATTATTATATACAATAATATTCAACACCCCACGTCTCTCTTTTGCCAGGTGTCATTCTCTTCAATCTTCCAATTCACCAAATCTCAGTTTCGGCTAATTTAATTGACCTCTTTGTTAGTTTAAGTCCCTATCTTTTAATCATTCTTTTTCTTCATGTGTCTTTTAGCAAATTGATTAAACTAATGGTCGCTCATAAAATTTTAATTTCTTAATGTTTTGTCATAAATTTACGGATTGAAACTATAATTGGAAGCAAAATGACAGACCTGAATGTCGTACCTGCACATCTCCTGATACTTAGCAAAAGAATAATGCAAGGTAATAGAGATAATGAAAGATTGACAGACATGATGCCTTTGCTGTTTAGGAGTACTGGTAGACATGATGTCCAAGTTTACCATTTGGTAACACTAATTAATAATAAAATTAAAGTTCCATAATCAAATATTAATTAGTTAAAATTTTCTGGGGATCAAAATGAAATATAATAATATGTTTGATGATCAGTAATATAATTTAGTGCATTTTAGTTAAGTTTAAAATGCATGATTAATGAAAGGTATTGGTTTCTATTATTTTAGCTCTATAATTGCTTCAACCATGTCTTTTGGATGAGTTGTACTTGGCCCCATTACGGACTGTCCGAATTGGCTACAAAGAATTATTAAAATGCTAATGATGAATGTTCTGATATTGTTAACAGAATGTTAAGTCAATGACATTCTTCCTTCCTGTTGGGTATAAATACATTTCATTTTCATTGTCTTCTTTCCAAGCATCAAAGCTTTTCGAGCTTTTTTTAATTCATTACCATCAAAACCTTAGGCTTCTGCCAAAAAGAGAATAGTACATAAAAATGGAGCCTGTTGGAGTAACTATGGAAGGAGAATGGAGTTCTCTTAGTGGAATTTATACAAATGAAGAAGCCGATTTCTTGGCACAAATGCTTGGTATAAATGCTTGCTTCGATTCGTGTTCTTTCTGGTCTAGCCATGATCATTCAGGAACCCATAATAATTCCTCGGATTTTTCTAATGGTAGTAATTTTTGCAATTTTTCACAAGGAAATAGTAGTAGTATTTATAGTGGTTGCAGTAATTTTGTATTTCCTACCTCTAGTCAGGAAAGTTACCACTTGAGTGAATCTCATCTTAACAATAATAGCTCAATGTCTATGGATTTTTGTACTGGAGATGTAACGAACACTGCCTCGTATCTTGTTGAAGGCTATGATTGCTCGAATCAGGAGATAAGTAATGGAAATTTGGATGACTTTATTTTGTCTGATCAGAATTTGCAGCCTAAGAGAGAGAGAGAGATGCTCGTGATTGAACCTTCGAAAGAAGATAAAAGCAACAGCCTATCGGAGGTGCCTAGGAAAAGATCGCAGAGTGCAGGAGATGTGAGTACTGTAACTAATAATTAGACTATGTTTAGTACTCTCTAATGGAATGTAATATAATCAAATGCATTTTCAATTGCGTTTTGATTATATTACATTAATTAAACTTAAAATGCATGACATTTTATTCCATTACAGCATACTCAACATAACCTTAGTGCTGTATTTGTTTCCGAGAGAATTAGAGTTGGTTTATAGAGAGCTTATTCTCATTGTGATTTAACGATGCAGACTCAAAAGAGCAAGAGGAATGCAAGGTTCAAGAAAAGCAAGAAGCTTAGCAACAATGATGAAGAAAGTAATGCAGGCCTCAGCGGGCCTGCTTCGAGCAGCTGTTGGTCGGAGGATGACTCGAATGCTTCCCATGAACTCAATGGAGGAGTAATTTCAAGTATGAGCTCAAAAGGGACTGAAGCTGCCAACTTAAATGGAAAAACAAGAGCCAGTAGAGGCTCAGCTACTGATCCCCAGAGCCTCTATGCAAGGGTAAGAATTGTGGATATGAAGAAATTTAGTTGTTTTTCTGTAGGCCAATTAGTGTCAATTTGGCATCAAGATTAAAACTGTTTCTTGAACAAACGCAACTCTCTCATGTTGCTGGAAAAAGCAGTTTGGAATGTTGTTTAGTTGTTCTGCAACTTTAGTGATTATGACATATGAAATTCTGCTTAAAAAGCAATTTCTGATCAATATATTCATTAGTGTTTTTCTACCAGCAGCTAATGTAACTATAAATGACTTCTTTTTTGCAGAAAAGAAGAGAAAGAATAAATGAGAGGCTGAGAATTCTGCAGAATCTTGTTCCTAATGGAACAAAGGTAATAATCAATATCTGCAAATATAATTAACCTTTAAGCTCTTGCACTTTCTTGAAAAATTAATTTACAAGATTTTGGTTCTGTGGAAATGGCAGGTTGATATCAGTACAATGCTCGAAGAAGCAGTCCATTATGTAAAGTTTTTGCAGCTCCAAATTAAGGTAAGCTTCTTTCATTTTATAAAAGAGTAAAAGATGCATCAATTAAGAACAACATTTCTGGAAATATATATTTTTTCTGATACAAATTTTCATTGTCTTGTTTTTCAATTCTTTAGCTGCTAAGCTCTGAAGATCTATGGATGTATGCGCCTATCGCTTACAATGGGATGGACATTGGACTTGATCTGAAGCTCACTACACCAAGATGATATATGATTGAAATTAAAAATTAAATGATTGGGATTTCCGGTTAATAACAACATATATCAAGTCATACATTTATATTAAAATAATGCTATTGACATTTTATAACAGTTTATTGTTTAGAAGTATAAAGGAATGCAAGAGGAGAAATCATCAAAAGAATTTCTTCAAACTATTTCATGTTGTTGCTTTGATAAAATGGAAATTATTCAAGCAGATTGTTTGTTCTTTTGATGCAAAAATCTTCTCAGTTATTAACAGGAGTCTAAAAAGAAAATTAATGAATTTTAAGTACAAGATAATAAAATTACATAATCAAAATGAGTTATAGCCGATCTATAAATTCACCCCTATACTTTACAAAAAAAACTATGTAACAACCTTAACTTTTATGTTGATTTATTAACCATTCCAATTTATAAAATCATACATATTAAAGCAAAAATTATTCTACTGAACACTTAAACTTATAAAATTAAATCGATTAAAAACTTATTAGATAATTGAAAATTTTGAAAATTATTATTTCAAAGATTATACTAAACACTTAGTAAGTGAACATTTTGCATATAAATGCTAAAAACACCAAGAAACTATTATTACTAGTACATAGAACAGTATAATATTACTAAAATTCATAAATTCAAAGGCATCATAAGTTCCTCGCAAAATTTAGAATGTCACAAGATTTTTTAATGAAGTATATGGATTCTAATAAGCCTGTGATATACCTTAAGCAAAGCTCAAGATACAATAGAATCACAACATACAAGCAAATTATTCTCCAAAAGTAATGAGTTGCATCCAGAATGCAAGAACAAAAATGATCATGGCGCCTTAACAATCGACAGAGCGATAAGAATCATCAAATAGCAGCAGCAGCGGGAGGCATATTGGAAAAGGAAAAGCTGTATTTTCAACAGAATCCTTGTTAATCATCCATGCAAAACACGTTTACTCCTTAAACTGAAATAAGGTATAGTTATCAAAGCCAAAAAAGGGGTCAAGCAGTCTAAAAGGCACTAATGAATTACAGAATCACCATATAAATTAAGCAGCAAGATTTTAGGGATGGGAACGAAAATTATAAGACGTTACAGCCAAATCCCTTACAATCTGCCACAAATCCAATCTCTACTTCAATTGTTAAGCATGTTATGACTTCAGTAGATAGGACAAGTTCTATGCTACACTTCTTTATTGTTCATTTACATACAGTTATAAAAATCCAGGCTCAAAATCCTCAACTTGATAAATCATCCCTGCATTACTCCAAATCCCTGAAAGATAAATAGTGGAATTTGTCTTCTTCATGCACGTTCATCGTTCACATGATTTGGAACTTCTGCTTGACTATCCAGCGGCATGTACTGTGCCATGATAGCTCTGATTTCTGAATCCATGTACGACTGCAAAAGTAACAATGAAATGTTAACAGACTGGAATTTCATCAACTGCTACACTGATGTTACCCATACAAAAACTTTAAAGGATACATGTCTCTATGAAATGTACTGTAGATATTCTTTTTAAATGGCCACTCTAGTCTGGTAATATTAAGACTGTCGGTGATTTTTAACAGAAACCAAGTGCCAAACTCACAAGCTTTAGTCCAAGCGACTTTTTAAATTGGACGAGGAGCAGTCAGGTACAGCCAATCGTATGCAACTCCAAGAGCAGACAACTACTTACACTTCATTAATGACAATTTTTTTTTCTATTCTCTATTTACAGGTCTAGTATAGTTTAACAAAAAGCCAGCATTGGAAGAAAATGCAAGTATAACCTGCTTCACAAGGGTTCATAAAAACAGTAATAAATGATACCATGAGACAGTTAGGGTCAATGAGTAGGGTCTTTGAAGGAAATTTATGGTCAGTTGTCACAACATTTTTTGCATTAAGAAGCTGCTCTTACGCCTTGATCTTGCAGCATTTTGGTTGCTAGCCAAGATTCAATGATCAAATCATTACTCATATAAACTTCTATCCAGATTTTGCCCAGAAAGTTCATGCATGACTAAAATAACTCAAATAAAACCTACAGTTTCTTAATACCATTTCCAAAAATACACCAGCACAAACCTAGAGACTTCATTATTATAATTGCGATAAAGACCGAAGTTAAATGATAGTGCCAGAATTCCAAATACTTGCAACTAATAAATATCAGTTAAACTGTAAGTACGATGCCAAAAATAACCAAAAGAAATGAATATCAAAAAAAAAAAAGGAAAGAAAAATTGAATCAAGCTTACCCTCAGTCTATATTTGTAGATAAGATATCCCCCACCAGCAGCCATTCCCAAGCCTATCAAAATGACCCAAAAAGCAGCCCATGCTGACCTCACTTCGGTGCCTCTCTTACCTGCCATTAGAAAAGTGTATAAATCAAAACAAAAACAGTAGTATTCAACATTTCTAAACAGACTAATCTGGAGTTATGGTTTCTGAACTCACTTATGCAGGTATCATGGTCTCTGATATACAGAAGATCTCCACTACAAGTGCAATCATAGCTACCCCATGTATTTTTGCAGTTACACTCAGGGCACTGACAGGCTGTCCTATCTTTGCATTCATCAATATCTGCATGATTAATAAAGACAGATAAAAGATCAAGCAGGACTATCAACAAATTCACAGTTTCTCTGACTGTGACTTCAATTGCAATCAAGATGTAAGCAAGATCATGCTGACCAGACACAAGCTCACAATTGAAAACATTTTTGTAAGACAAATGCTCTGCAGTTAAAGTGTGGGGGGTGCAAACAAAAAATTTCTAAATTAAGGTGGACCTGAAATGCGAATTTGAGTGAAGTATCAAAGAAGCATGCAGGATCTTATTGCATGCCAGGAAGGACCACTTTCCAAGGCCAAGTCCAATATAACTACTAATCAAACACTACCAGATGATGTGAAATAAATCGACACACGCATTGGGAAAGTGAAACAGAAATCAATAGAAAACTCCCTAGTGGTAGAAAATATGCTATTTTTCAAAATATACTCTTGAACATTGAAATATTCTTCCAAAATTCTGTAACACTTTGTTTGGTTGGAGGTGAAGGAGGGGTATATAAGGGGAATGAGAGATAACTAAGATATATATCCCCGTTTAGGAAGGGGTGAGTCAAGGAAGGATGAGGGTAAATAAGGGTAAGCCTTACCCTCCTTTACCCCTCAAATCTCAATTTTTGTTACACCCCAAATTGGGGTGTAAGGGAGGAGAGGCAGGTAACTTAGTGTTTTTGTACTATATTTAATTATTTATCCCTCTCTTTGCCTTTCCATTAATTCAATCCTTTCCAAACATCAACATAATTTTATTGTAACTCATCTTACCCTTCCCCTTCCTTACCCTCCCTTACCCTTCCGTTAATTCACCCTTCCCTCACCCCATCCATTGCACAATAATCACAATGTTTGCATCTATTACCTTCACATTTTGTCGTACCATCACCTTTAAACCCAGTGGGACATTGGCATTTAGTACCCTCAACATCCTGTTTGCAGGGAAATTAGAAATTAAAACTTAATTTATTTACTGAAGAAATAAGAATTGGAGAACGTGAAAGATAACTAACTGAACAAGCAGAGAAGGTATGCCCATTTCGGGATTCATGCCAACAGCCTCCGTTGTTTAGCTTGCACCTTCCAGCTCCGCTAACTGCATCACACAAATATATGATGTTTAGAAGCAATTCCAGTTTCATTTAAAAACAAAAAGAAAAAATAAATGAGCCATCTTAGTTGATGCATGTGGACACATTTGCACACAACATCCAAGTGTCAAACTTAAATCAACAATAAGCATAAGTTACATTTCTGCCCAGTTCAATGGAGCAGGGCCTAAATAACTATGGGCCTGAAAGCACCAACTCATGTACTGTAATTCATAATCCTAGCCGAGTTGGTCATCTTTCTCTCTCAATCAACGCTGGACTTGGACACTAAAAAGTTCAAAGTAGGTTTAACCTGAAACCTGATAGTAATCTTTTCAATATTGATGTTGAGTTCGACTTGGAAATCTCTCTTTATAATTTGCATATTTTGTATATTTAATATATTTATCATCTTTAATAGTAGCTTGCATAAGTGGCAGAATGTTTCTTTTCCTTCCGTCCATTTTAAGGAGCATCTTGGAATGTTAGTGAACAGAAACAGAGCAATTATTCCAAGTCTTTTGTGCACTAAAAACTGAATCTCTCAACCAAGAGTTCCAGAAAATTATTCAGAATAGTTACAGCAGGAAGCGTAAAGTCTACTAAAATTAGACGAAAAGACCCCTTACTAATCATGCATCATAACTTGTGCAAACAAAAACAAGAGAAGCATTAAAAACACCTTCACAGTGGCTGTAACCATCTCCTTTGAACTGAATACCATCAACCATGGGACACTCACAAATCCTCCCACGAAATGTATCCTGAGAAAATAAAACCACTATCAATTAGGGAATATATAGACAAACACAGACCACAGCATTCACATAATGCACACACAAAAAGAGACAACTTCCTCACGGCAAGTTTTTATCCACACCTTGCAAGCAGTGATATTTGCTATTTTGTCTTCCCAGCAACCCCCATTATTGTCCAAGCATTCATTAGTCTCAACATCTGCCCCAGAAAGAATTCCCGATGAAAAACTCAAATTAAGAATAACTAGTCACATAATACTGCCACTACCCAATAATAGTCGCAGCAAAGCCATGGGCTAGAGAGGAGATCTACACACAGTCCTCACCTTAGCCTTGCAAATTTATATTTAAAAAACAACTAAAGACTGAATACTTATTACTCCCTCCGTACCAAATTGATAGGCATGCTTTCTACTTAACAAGAACTAAGAAAAATTAATTATTTTAGTTAGAAATGTAAATTTATATGTATTTTTCCTATTATACCCTACTTTAATATGGATATACTCATTAATTTATTATTGAATTTTTGCATCAGCCAAGATTAATTAATTATCTAAGGTTGGTTAATATGCATTGAAAATGGCTAAACTTAGTAAATACTCACGTTTTCAGTTTTCAAAGTGACTGTCACAAGTAATGGCATTAGAAAACAAAGAATAAATGATAAAAATAAGAAAGTTATTTTTAGCAAGTAACATTAAATATGGGTATCATAGAGATTTAATATATTAACTAACTTATTAAAATGGTAAGTAGGCTATTAATTTTGGACTAACGAAAAGGCAAGTGTGCCTATCAATTTGGAACGGAAGGAGTATTAGTACTTCACAGCTAGCTTGAATCTTTTATAGTTGCATCAAAATGTTGTCCCAGTGTCACCAGTTAATTCCTACCAAACAGCAGAAGAAACTTACCGCCACTCAAACAAACACCTGGCTCAGTTGTTTCCTCAAAACCAGCACATATGGCTCTCAGAACAGCACCTTTCTCCAACTTTCCTGCAAGCATGTGCATGTGATTAAAGAAATTGAATAATAAAAACAAGAGAGAGGTTTTTCTTCCAAGCACAGAAGTGCACAGTAACAGACCTCGATATTGCCGATTGTTGACAACAAGTGTAGGCAGTATGGTTACATCACCTCTTGATCCTTTTCCAACCTGCAAGAAGATCTTTGTCAGGAAGCTTTGCGTGGCTCATAGCTGAATTAATTACAGAAATTTCAAAAGTTGCAGATTGGCAATATGTGACAGATTAAAGCCAACAAAAGTACTACAAGTTGTAATGCTATAGTATATAAACAACACACAATTACCTGGGCATCTTGCTCTTCTTTCAAAACAGGGTTATCAGAATCAGCATATGGGTCTCCCATACAATTCTCAATCTTTTTAATATCAAGCCCTGTGACAAAAAAATACTCAATATATGAAGATTCTTATTTCATTTGTATGTAATCCTTCTAATGAAGACATACAATGAAAAATTATTTACCAAGGGTTCTGATCACACTATCAGCACATTCTTTATTGTATTTCTTCTCCTTCATGGGACATCTGATTTGGAAATCAGTTGCATAATCCCACCACACCCAAGGTCTTTTGCTCTCATTTGCCACTCTAAAAACACAGAGTTGCCTTAGATTTTCAATAACAACATCTTTCCCATCATAACCTGTGCTGAAATCCTGCTCAGGATCAGGAGCACAATATCTTCCATGATTTATGCACTGTGACTTGCACTGCCTGCTCAAGGTGAATGCCTGAGGACAGTACCAGGTTATATAATGGGGTGTGAACTGGGTGTAACCACCTTTCTCAAGTATCTGTGCTGGGCCCCTAAAATCTTTCACAAATTCCATAAGCATATCACATTTAACACCACATTCATCATTGCTGTTGGTCCATAGCTCATACTCCACACGATCATCAGGGTGGGGAACAGCTTCTCTCCAATCAAGATTCACGTTTACCATGTCCCCAGAGCTTGTTGCTTTCTTTAACATTTCACCAAAGCTTTTCTCGATAAGTGCAGATGGTACTGTTATGTTCTCAATATATTTTGTAGCTGAACCATCCTCTTCGGGGGAGTCCATAGTTATTAATGGTTCCTCAATGTCATCTGCAACAAGTACTGCAGAAGCTCCAGCCTTCTGGGCATTCCAGACCTTCAAAGCAAAGAAGCAATCTAGAAAAACAAAAAAATACTTCATTACTGAGTTGGCATAACAGCTGCAGTCAAAACTCAAAGGAAATCTTTTAAAGAGTCTTGAATCCAAATTAGAAAATAAAAAATCCATTCAATCAGCTTTCTATTTAAATCAGTAAAGTGCAAAATAGATATATGCAGAATCAATGACCTTATTAGCAACACTTGTATGCAAAGAAAATGGTTTGCAACTCATTGTAGGAGTTCTAATATTGATTGGAATGAAGCAGATACACCCCAAAGAAAGGTTCAAGCTTCCAAATCGGAATTTCTCATGATTTAGTTCAAACAGAACACTAATTGGATGTCAAGCAAAGACATTCAGTAAGACAAAGCATCATCAAATTCATGCATGATTTCACTTTCAACTCAGACAACTACTTCTCATAGTTTTAGAATATTGCTTTTGAGCCAGGAATTCCCAAAAACTGTTGCAGGAATGAAAGTTCCATCACAGCACATGCAAAATAAAGCACCCATGTAATATGATCACCATTAAGCACCAGTGAAGCAAAGAATGTAAAATTTTTTACATCCTGGTAGAGAACAAATAAGCTTTAATCCCCTTGGACACTAAGGATGCATCTTGTTGGACTTCTAAAACTTGTTTAAACAGAGCCCTAAACAAATCACAATATCCTAAACTACTGCAATGCTGCCTACATCAACCAAGTAAACTAAGACGCATAACACACCTCCATTAAGCTAAACAAGTTACCGTCTGCAGCGCCGCATGACCAAAATGAGAAATATATCAAGCACTTCAAACCAAATTAGGTGATGTAAATTTCCTCAATAACCAGCAGTCATTACAACCAATCACGTTCCAAAAACCACACAATAATAAGAAGTTCAATAAAATTGTGGAAATTGTTTAGCTGCACATCCCTTGACAAAAGACATGCAGGTTAATCAAAATCATGAAAAGAGTATCCTTGCAAATGGTAAATGATATGAAAACATACAATTTGACCAACTTACCACAAGGCACCTACATAATCAATCAAAGAAAATTGACAAACTAACAAGAAAAACCATTTAAATGGTATATTGGCAAATGCTCAAGCAGAGGTAAAGCATGGCAAATTGATCCAAGTTAGCACAAGTGTGCTTTCTATCAGCTAAAAACCAAAGAATTACACAGAAATATGGTGAACTACAAAATGTACTTCCAAAACTGACTAAAACTGAGCCATAATTTACCAAGTTTATCTGAACCAAACAAAATCCTAAAAACTCTTCAATTGACCAGGAAGGAGGTAAAAGTAACGTGAATTGATCCAAATTAGCCCAAGGTACCTCCACCATAACCTCAGAGAAGAGATGCTGGACCCTCAAAAGCTGAGATACACGCCATTCTCCAGTAACCCAGAAATGGGGAAAAACGAAGTATATCTCAAATCTCAAAATAAACAAATGCTTAAAAAAAAAAAAATCAGAACAACAATCAAATTAGAGCTTCCAAAAAAAAAAAAAAGCTAAAGAGTACACAGCTGCGGATCACTAAAATGAGCTTCAGAAATTTTTTTTATTTGGTTCAAATTAGTATATGGGGACCTCACAATCAACCAACAAGAAACCATATGCACCCAAAGAATAATATGTCTCTCATGAAGCAATCGAATTAGCTAGTCGAGAAGGGTACCTCATATTCAAATCAATCATGATTAAAATGCATAAGAAAAGCCAAATAAATTAAGAAAACAAAAAGGGTACCTCCACGATCGAGCAAAACGAAAGTCGGTAAAGCTCCAGGCTGAGACTTGAAGGAAAGCCCAAAATCATTAAAATCCTTGCATCCCTTTCTATTATCCTTTGGGTACGTCACAGCCCCTGCCATACTACCCCCATATTGCGGTATCCCAAAATTTCCAATTGCACTATCATACGTCCCCTTAATTTTATCCGGCGATGTCACCCTCAAACTGTTCTTCTCCACCACAAATCTCGCCACCGAACCAGTTACCATCAAATACATCAACAAAAACCCTAAACAGACAGTAAAACCCGGTCTTCTAAGCTCCATCTCGTCCAAAATAAACTAAAAAAAAAACAGTAAAAAAAAATTGTGGGTTTTGCTTTTGAGGATCAATCGATTAAGCTAAACATAAAAATATCGAGGTTTTGAAGCATAATCAAGCATTTCAAGATGCGGGCTATTATTTTTGCTATTTGTTTCTTGATTGGAGAAATCCTGGCGTGTGAGATTTATCGTGGTATACGGGTTAATGGATATTTGGTTTTGCTATATGGTTCTCTTCCTTCGTTTTTCAGCTGCGTGAAGAATGCTAGTCCCTGTTGTTGTTTTCTTTGTGTTTTTTCCGCTATCAGTACTTAACACTTACGAGACAAAGTAATAGACATCAACGTCCCTAAATCCAAGTGATAATCAATTATTAAATATTTTTTATTACCTTTTCTATTTATGTTTCTGGGATTATATTTTTTTTATTAGTAGAAAATTACATAGAAAAGGAAATATTATCCTATTATCACAACATACTTCCAAATTTAGGTTAGACAGACAATCGTGCAAATTACTATCCAATCCTTAAATTTTGATATTAATTACTACTTAGGTCCTATATTTTAACTAAATAATTAAATTGCCTCTAGCCATTAGATCTATTAAATTATTTAATCCTTATATCCTAAAAATATAATTTTTACAGTTAAATATGAGACTAAATAATATTGTTATATTAAATTTAAAAGACCAAATAATAATATTAAATATTAAATGTGAATAATCGGATAGTTAGCATAGAAAATGGTTGGACAGAAAAGACTAAATAGTTTAACAAATCAAAAAGCAAGACTAATTGAATTATTTAATCAAAATATAGAGGTTAATTAGTAATTAGGATTAAATAATAAGTTACACACGTTTACAAATAATAGAGTGGGACTATTTATAATTATTATTATTATTATTATTATTGTATTAAATATATGCCGTTGGATCCGATGGAAGATTAGAATCAATGATTTTAATGTGATTTCATATAGGTTTGAATGTAGTGGATAGGAATCCTAAAATATTTTTAAAGAAGAAATTAGGAGTTTTTGCTTTTATAATTTGTTGTCATTAAGACAGAAGCAACAACAGTGGCAAAATAGTAAATGGGAAAGCTAGAAAAATCTGTTGAGAACCTAAAAAAGTTAAGTCTCAACTACTCGGTCAGTTTCCATCAGAATAGTCAACGCCACTAGCGCATTGTTAGCCACCTGGCTTTTACCTATAATCTTCTTTACTTTTCTTTTTTAAGAAGAAAAGTTAGTTATTAGTTTCTTTAATTAATTAATTTATTTATATATTTTTTAATTAATTAATTTACTAAGAGGCCCAAACGATGGAACTAAATTTAGTGATGTTCCTAAGCTTTTAGACAAGCAAAATAGGAAAGGAACATTTGACATTAGATGCTTTGAGAGTTGTCTTAAATTAAAGCTTAAATGCTTGGGGTAGAAGTTTGGTAATAGAAATGGAAAATGGAAACAATTTTGGCTTTTCTTGCTTATTAAGTAACTAAATAAATTTTGATTTTAAGCAATTTAAATAATATATTTCTAAATTAATGTATTAGATTGATATGGTGTAATATGTTCTTAGCATACTTGAAACGAAGTTCTAATTTCCAAGTATGTAATTGAAATTTTAACTCCAACCAAACTTTATTTAATTGTTTAAATATAAATATAAACCACTCATGAAATATTTTTAAAATATTCTAGGTATAGTTTTATAATAGATGAATATAAATATTTCTAGATAATAATGGAATGTTATTCATAAAAAATTTTAATAAATTTTCGAGCATTTATTTTTTTTATATCTATTTATACATATATTTAAAACTTTAAATCATTGTAACTTTAAAACTTTTTGAATTTTTTTCTTATTTATATGTATATACTTATATCAATCTATCTATACCTCTATTAAATATTACTTCGTCCGTCCCAAAAAAAGATAATCAATTTTTTATTTTCACATAAATTAAGAAAATGACAATTATTATGATTAAATGATAATTTTATTCATATAACTTTTCTATTATACTCATCTTAAATAACAACGATCAATTATTATATTGGAATACTACTTCCGCTCCATAATACTTGTTATATTTGAAAAAATAGTTTGTTCCAAAATACGTGTCACATTTGTGCTTTCAAGGAGTAATAAATATTTTTTTCTATGATTACCCTTTGTATATAACCAATAATTATTACTTCAATTTAATGGTTTTCTTAGAGATTAGTATTAAATTAAGAGTAATATAGTCAATTTACTCGTTTAATTGCTTACTTATAGTATTATAAATATCCTAATTTTATATAATATTTTTAATATTGTGCTTATGTTTTCATTTACATTAAGATCATTAGAAGTGGACTAAAAATTCATTTATATAATTAAAAATCATTAGAAGCCGACTAAAAATTTATTCATGTATTAGGTATGCTTATTTATCATTTGTACTTTTCTGTTATATTAATATAGATATATTATAAATATATTAGAATAATAGCATAAATAAAAATCAAATAATTTAAAGCTAAATAGAAGATTAATATAATCAATCAAAAAAACTAACTAATTAATATAATAACCAAAGAATAATTTAGATTCAAATAGGAAATTAATAATATAATAAAACCCAAAATTAAATTTTCTTTATTTTTTAACCAATAAAACTAAAGTTCTTAATAATATAAAATAAAAAATTAATAATATATAAAACCTATTAAAATAAAATTATTTTTATCTTTATTCCAATAAAATTAAAGTTGTTAATGATACTTTTATTGATCTATAAACTTAGTAGGGACATTTTAAGCGATTCCATTGTTAAAATAAAAATTAAATCAGCAAATCAAAATAATATTATTGACTACCAATATTACTATGTTAACAAAAATAATACAAATACAAAATAAAATAATTAGATATTATTGCATGAGAACAAAAGGATATAATGAAATGATTATAAAGTTAAAACTAAATAATCATTTGATCCAAGATCTTGCTGATGGGAGCGGGTACAAAGCGGAAACAACCCTCTTCGAAACCATATGAGGCAAACTAAAAACATATCGAACAAATCAATAAACTGACCTCTTGAAGCGCAGAATCCGCAGAAATCGCTCACTGGTCTTCTTTCCAGAGACTTGGAGTCACCCACGATCTTAATCCCTAACTATCTCTCTGAGTGGCAGAGAATAGAATAACGTGCGTCTCTCTATTCTTAGGGTTTTCAAATCTTATATTAAAAAAAACTCTCTTCGATAGAAAGATATTTTTTTTTAATATAAAATAAATTAAATAAAAAATTATTTAATTAAAATAATTATCAATTATTTTAAAACTGAATAATTTATCTATTATTTAATACACCCTTAACTTTCCAAATAATTAGGGCACTACAGGGACCTCAGGAATAAAATAAATCAGGCTACTAATTATAATAATAACCTATGTAGACCAACATATTCTTATTATAATTAATCATGAATTATTCCACTTATTCCACTAAAAACTCATGACTGAAACTCCTTATTTATTTTCAATTCCACAACATAATAAAATAATGTTCCCACGTTAAGATAGATGCTGTCATTTAAATAACTTACTGACAATTTATTTAAATCACAATATAACTTTAAGATTGTCGCTCAACTTATTTCATGTGTATTCAATATCCACCTATAGGATTTACACTATGAAACCTTATAAACTTACTTAAAGTGCATCATCAATCTCTAAACCGAGACATGGATTCTATCATTAATTAATATTTCACAAACACAATATATCTTTGCCCAATTCACCGAGAACATTATTCCAATAATGAAACTCACCCTTTAATGAATCAAAGCACAAGACAATCAATGTTTGCTCATATTAAAATAAATCAAGATTAAGAACGATAAACATTATTTCTAATGTCCTAGAGAAAATATGTTTAACAGTCATTACTAAGTACTAAAACACTCCATTCTCTACTTGGTCCAATTAAAATACAATACAAAATGTACTAATCACAATTATTTGTCATATGCTATAACTTTATTTAATGCCAATATATTTCCAATTAAATACAAAGAAATAATCGTCAATAGAAAATCATTCATAGCTATACTATTACATATGCATGGTTAATAGTATATCTCTATCAATTTCCCACTTAGACTCATAACCATGCATCAATAACTTTAACTCCCATTCCTTCTACATGACTGTTAAAAGCCTTTGCTGGTAAGCTTTTTGTAAAAGGATCTGCCAGGTTGTTTTCCGATGCAATCTTTGTCACTACCACATCTCCCCTTTGAACCATGTCTCGTATCAAATGATACTTCCTCTCAATGTGTTTTGCCCTTTTATGGCTCCGTGGCTCCTTGCTCCGTGGCTCCTTCGAGTTTGCACTGCCTCAACTATTATCACAATAAAGTGTTAATAGGCAGGCAATTGCACTGAAGAAACTACGCCTAGATCCATAAGGAAGTTCCTAAGCCATACAGCTTCCTTTGCAGCTTCAGAAGCTGCCACATATTCAACTTCCATGGTGGAGTCAGCAACACAAGTTTGCTTAATACTCCTCCAACTTATGGCTCCACCTCCCAAGACAAAAGCATTACCAGAGGTTGACTTCCGAGAGTCCTTATCAGTCTGAAAATCCGAATCTGTATACCCAATGGGTACAAGATCGTCAGATTGATAAACTAACCTATAATCCCTAGTCCTTTTCAAGTACTTGATAATATGCTTGACTGCAGTCCAGTGTTCTCGCCCAGGATTAGATTGAAATCTGCTAACCATGCCAACAGCAAAACAGATATCAGGTCTGTATCAGAGTCTGGTTAACCAATAATTGCATACATAAGCTTCCAAACTCGCAGAACGCATATGGAACTGCCTTCAAATGTTCTCTATCTCCTCAGTGTCTTAGGACATTATTGGTCCTTAGATAGAGTGATTCCATGTCTGAAGGGAAGAAAACCCTTCTTGGAATCCTGCATGCTGAAACGAGCAAGAATGGTATCAATAAAAAGTGCTTGAGATAAGCCAATCATCCTTTTCTTGCGATCTCGCATAAGCTTAATCCTAAGAATATGAGCAGCCTCTCCCAAATCCTTCATATCAAAACGTTGGGACAGCCAATCTTTGATTCAACATACCTACACAATTCCCTATAAGCAGAATATCATCCACATATAGTACCAGAAAAACAACCTTACTACCATTCCATTTCTTATACACTCAAGACTCATCATGACACTGATCAAAGCCAAAACTTTTAATCACTTGGTCAAAACAAGTA